ACGTTTTATTAATCTATGAATAAGTGCATTCCTGCTTTTCTCTTGGCGAAGTATTAAAAAAGTTTACTCTCCTCATGAACCAAAAAAGGGTTTTAAGGTCCATGGGCTCCTGTGTACACTTGAAACTTCATTCTGCGCCGTAAATTGAATTTCATGCTTTATTAAGTCCCGTGTTGTCTACTGCTCTATTGTTACCGCAAAGAAACTGACAACAGTATCTATAACCAAACTTAAAAGTTGATAGAGTTTTCTGACTGCTAAGTCTTTATAAAAGTTTTACCGCCGTAGAGTGTCACGTAATTGATCTCCATCAAAATCGCAAAATTTTTCCATGTATTTCCACCTTACAGCCAATGCCCATCGACAAATAGTTTTGATTTTAGATAGTGCAAAAAAACTAACTCTACTTATCGACTTTAATACGTTATCTAAGTCGGGATAGTAAGTTTCCCCTTCACTTAATAAATTATACCTGGATCGTACGAATATGTACATCCATGGTTAAATATACTAAAACTACTAAATTAGTTGTAGAATTAAAGTTTATTCCTTTTAAATATGAACTAGACACAGGTGAGTTTTTCGCTCTAAGCCGAAGCTTTGTTCTCTGTTTGCTGAATCTTTTATTTTTTGTACTGTTATATGTAATATTGCTTCCGGATTCCTTGTACTTGTAGTCCAAGTTAGAATAGAACCAACCAGCGGAAGCCAATTATGTTATGGAGGCGTATGTTTACAAAATCACATGTATTTAATCGTTGAAACCTTTTTCAACAGCAACAGTATTCCTTTTAATTTCTCTTTTATTCACTGTTGTATCGTACGTACAATGTATTATTGACATTTTATCGATATTCTCGTAGTAAGTGGTCAAGTGTCCGCAAGACCGTAATTTATTATTAAGTACTGTACAAACAGCCACCCAAATAATAGCTATAAAGAAAAAACCATTAAAGTAGAAGTGAAAAAACTGTTGACATAATGCAAAAATAGAATCCGCTTTTCAAGCATATCGATATAACTTTTATATTTTGTATAGATAAATGTAAACGGCACGGTTTTTGCACTCTCGTTTATTCGTAATACTTATAGTTAGCATTTTTTTTTTGTTACGGTATTCTTTTTGTGTACAATAACAATACTGTAACGTGGTTTATTTCTTTATTGTAATACCTGCTCTGTGGGCCTGTTTATGGACCTCTACTACCTACTATGTTACATAAAAAATTTCATGATCATTTTATTACTTATAGAATTATTAATAAAAAATAAATTACGTTTTGTTTATGTTATAATTTCTTCGTATTAGGTCTCATTGTGGCATTAAAACTTACATTGCATTTTCGATTTGGCGAACAGCTAGTCCGCGTTTTGCTACAATGCCTTTTCGAATAAGTATTATTTATTTACAAAGCAATGTTGACTTAAAATAATCATTTTAAAAAGTGGACTATTCAGATGTGGCATTTTAAGAGAAAAATCTTCAATTTTAATTATGTAGTTATTTTAAAAAAAAACATGCCAAGCCCAGCTTGCGGACCGAAATATCAAGCCACTGTATAATTTACCTCGTATCTGTGCTCTCGAAGATCAATGTAGTGTTAATCTTGAACATCTGCGTGGAGGCAGGTGCTCCGGCGCACCACCTGTTGCCGCTTTTTTGTTCATCTTTTTCCAATTTCGCTCACACATTATACCGGAAGACGAAACATTCATTTTAAGTTTGTTGCTGCTACCATACTTGTCGTTTATAATAAACTATTGTATAGTCTGTGATCGAAGCAAAGTCGTCAAGTTTTAAAATCTTCTAAGGTACTTCCTGGCTGTTGACTTTGAAACGAATAAATCGGAAGTATTTCTATTATTTACTTACTTATCATTTGCTACGTACTTAAATAAGTATTTCTGTTTTTAATTCTGAAAAATATTCCGTTGTAATTATGTTTTAGTTTATTTTCTTTCAGATGTATGTTATCTTGTTACAAAATCAGCGCACGTGCGGTCGATTTGATTTATCATTATAACAATGCATGTAATTCTTGGGACCAATGTGTTTTCTACCCTACCCTAGGGGCGCGGCTGTGGCTGACAAAAGTAGGACAAAACGAAATTTAGGTCATCGTGTCAGGCCTCACTGTATTTATCCCATAAAGGAGGTTTCTGCTTTAAATGCTCAGTAAAACTTAATGTGATCACCACCCACTTACATAAATCGTTTGTGTTTTGGACAATACTAAGATGTCTTAATGTAAGAATTCTTTATTCTCCGTCAATTGTAACGCTAACGACTTTGAGAATTTAATCATTATTAGTAATTATAACTCAGTTGATTACTTAACACTTTAAACTACATATTATCATAACCTAGCAACGACTTTGTCCAAAGAAGACAGTTATTGAACTGAATTTCCAGGAATACTACCAATTAGTGCTCTTTTCCGTTTTGCCAGGAAATATTTACAAGAAAATACTTATACTTATCGTTTCTCCGAAAGCAAATCCCTTTTACTACCAAGCCAATTAATTGAGTTTAGACAAAGCTCAAAGAAGCAGCGTCTCGAGTCTTCCCTTTATTAATTTTACTTATTCCGTTAAAAAAATTACCTAAAGTTGCATTTCATAGAATTAATAAAAGGTAGTAAATAAGCAACGCAAAGTGCTAGTAAGCTTTGCAGAACGTATGACGTAATTCGAATGAGCATTGTTATGAATTACTGGATGGCATAGTGTGCAGGGGCGAAATTATGTATTTTCTGCTACCCCTCGTCGGGAGAGCGGGTGGTGCTATGGTAGAGATACTCACACACGTACAATCATTACGATTGTAAACACGCAGTACGGATACACGCACACATAGCAGCGAGCACAGAATATGTCCACCTTGACTTAGTGTACAGTATAATTTAGTTCAGCAGCATCGTGTGTTAATACAAACTACCGTAACAAGGACAATGTAAACCTGTGGATTTAGTTGAAGACCGCAACGCTTATTTGTTTAAGCATTAATATTAACTTGAAAGTTATTATTGCACAGTAGTTTTTCTATAATTTACTTTTCTAAATTACCTTAATTATGTTTGTATGCATAATAAATGAAATCATCAGGTACTCTTTATTTCTGTTTAAAAAACATTAAAAATAAATATTTCTTACAATAACACCAAACATTTTTTAGCTCTTTAAAAGAAGAAAAAATCGTGCATCATTAATGAGATAAGTACGAAATAAAATATAATTGTTCTAGATCCATTGATAAGAAAAAAAAATTTTTCGAATTTCCTTAATACCTATGTACTACAAAAAGTGGTTTATAAAATTATAATAACCTTACCCATGAGCAATAGAAAAAAAAGCAAAAAATAGGCTAACACCAAACTACTTTTATAGCAGAAAAACTGTCCTGCTTTTAACTTCAAATTTTATATACAAAATAGTGAATAAAAATACGGACATGTGCTGTTCATGTACGGTAGAAGTGAAACCTACAAAAATTTGAATACTGGGCAAAATTAAATATAGTATTCTTAAATGTTCAAAAATAAATGATGGCTTATTTAAGAAAAAAAATCAATTAAAAAAATTAACCGTACTCAGGATCGAACCACCGATCATTTGGTGTCGACTCCAAGAGCGTTAACGCTCGGCTATCTGTCTCTTGCAGAGAGTTACAAAATTACGGATACTTTGTATCAAATACTGTCGCTTTTTCGTTTCATCGAGTTTTCAAATCACAACAGTTCTAAAGAAGTTCTCTCCTCAAAAAAAAAACGCGCCTGCTTATAGATTCAGTTTGAATAAAAATGATAAGAAAATAGGAGTCTAGTAGTCTAGAATTCTGTTAAGTAAGGAATAAAGCTACTTTAACAATCGCTCGAGACCTAAAATTGGGAAAATTTGATCCATATTCTAGAATATCTGATGATCCCGTCCCGACTGTTAAAATGGCTTTTTTCCTTAAGTTTCTAAAAGTTATACAAGCTGTAGTCAGGGCTCAAAATAATTTTTGAGCTGTTTTTTAACTTTTACATACACGCCAGAACTCAAGAACAACTTCATCCATCCAAATATGTAATTGGAAAATTATAGATCTCTGTACCTACTTGTAACTGTACCGATGGGTGATGTTGTGATTTTTTTTTCTGTACTCGTAAAATAACGGATATGGCTTATTTAGATTTAAACATCGAGCAGTTAAAATTATAATAATAACGGATTATTAACAAAACATTATAGTAGAAGATGAACAACTAGGGATTGACATTAGGTCTTAAAAACCGCTTTAGGGTATGACAGTATTGTTATCAAACAAAATTGTGATCAAGTATGTAAAGATCTTTTCAAATAAAAATAATTATAACCAATTCGTAAATTATAAAAATCCGTAATGTAAATAATATCGTGATTTCAATAAAACATCACAAATGACAGCATTTGACTTTAAGGAAAACATTAATTTATCTCAGATTTATTTAAATTATTTACAAATCAATGCTTTACAGACTCAAAAAAGTATACCAAGTCATAAAAATCAAAAGTGAGTCCCTTATCGCAAGGTAAGGACTTGGCGAATGGGCGCTAGGCGAAAAAAATGTTAAGGCGTAATAAAGTGACGTGTTTGTCCCGTTACGTAGGGGTAGTACGGCAGTTAGAAAGGTATGCATGCTTGCTATTATGATATAAACTTACATAAGCATAATTATTTTACTTCATATGTATACTTAGTCTCCTTGATTAAATACCCTTGGCAGCCCGCAGTCTCACATTAAACAGTCAAATGCCTATATGTTTCAAGGACACTGTCAATACAATGTACTGCTTACTTAATATACTGTGCTTGAGGGCTGTACGCACACAAGAACATCCCGTACCGCGTGCGGGTCGGATCGGGCGAGTTGGCCCAACGGCAGCCGCGCACACGTGTGCACGGGCGCCTGCCCACCGCACCCTTCTTCCCCGCCATCGCCCGCTGTTTTAGTACTACTACTCAAGCGAACCGACCGACTCACTCACTCACTCAGTCGTGTCCAAGTTTGCGTACGATTTACGCGTGCCTCTCAAGCTCGATAGAACTTGAGTTCTTTGTCCTAGCATTAAAAACATATATAAATTGTGACGAAAGCAAAGTTTTTGGTTAAATTGAGTGAACGGACGAGGTCGACGCGTGTGCAACTACAGTGTATTACTAAGCCAAGAGCACAAATGCCCAACGAAATTGCAACGTAATGCTATTCTGAGTACATACCGTGTCTAATTTCCAATTGAAATAAATTGCAAGTTCCTATTTGCTAATCGAGTTCCTTCTCCGTGCTTTGTTCTATCGGCGATGGCGAAAGCATCATGTTTAAAGTACTTAGGGAGTGCTTAACGCCGGCCTTTTGGCATACTTTTCTGTTGTGGTGCGCCTGTTCGTGAGTCACTGCGGGTTGCGATGTAATCGAAATGACGGACGTGCGGTTGCATGAGCCGAGCAAGTGGCACCGAGGAGGATTTCTGTCTTCTCTCAACAAAAGTTTCCGATTGGCCAGCGGCAAATCTAGAAGTGAGAACAGTTCGCCGGTGGATAGTAAATCCATCGAACAAACTTTGGACATGGCGCGTACGGTAAGGGGCACCAAACGCACACCAATATAGCGCTGTACTGCACTCTTAGCTTCGTCGCCCGTATAAATACGGCCAGTATTTTAATGTAAATCTCATTGGATGTAGTCGTCGTTGTTAGTGCCGATCCTATTGCGGAAATCTATGAATAATAACATAACTTATACTATTTTAATCATTTGGAAATTAGTTACCTCCACACATGAACTGAAATTCTTAATCTGGAATCAAACACTGTATCCAAGGCAACAATTCTCAAATATTTCATTAGTATCTAGAAGACACTAACCATCATGAATGCAATGTGCCAAGAATGCTGGTTTACCAACATTTTTAAGAAGATAGATTCTCATTATTTATATTTCAATAATTTTAATTTATACACCGATAATAATTACACAAGCCTTTAAAAAAATTGGCTACTTATTTGACCGTTGCTAAATAAAATGTTGTACTCGATCGATAACTAAAGAAATACTTTCTATACACACATAACACTACAATAACAAAAAAAATAAGTTATCTAAATGTTAATTGGGTAGTAGTAGTAGCACCTTTCATCGTAATGAATGAATGGGAATTTGACAAATACGAAACTCATTCACTACATAAAATAATAGAACGATATCGTCTGTTCTACTTCGTTTATTTACAAATAGAACATTGTAGGATAAAAATAAAATTCTTACTAATTTTTTCATAATTTCATAAAAAATAGTTCAATAAGTTTACTAGAACCTTGAGATACTAATTAAGATAATATCTTGTAAACTCATTTTCAGATTTTACTACCTATGACTTACAATGAAACGAACCTATATTAGAAACAATAATTTAAATAGAACCTACCAATAAAAAAAAACGGCCACGTGCGAGTCGGAATCGCACAAAAAGGGTTCCGTACTATCTATTCAACTTTAGACACTATTTAATATCGAACAAAACGGCTAATAAAATCACGTCAGTTGTATGCCCACGATTCCGGTTTTACCCATTGGGTTATCTTACCTTACAATATATAAGTATTTTTTTTTATAATTAAAACCACTCTACCTCACCTCATGTTAAGTAACGGTTGAGTCCTGCCTCGAAGAAAACTGGTGCATCAGTATTACCGGCCCACCACCACGATATATATATTCAAAACTGGCAATCGATCTCCAACCAGGTGGCTAGTAGTCTCCGTTTATCTCTTGCTTTCCCCTTCAAAGCTAAAGAAAAGTATCAATGTGACTTAACATTATCTCTTTCCCAACTATGAAATTAAATGCATGGGGGGAATGCGAAGAAGTTACAAAATTCATCCCCTGATCAATGTAAAATTATTGGATCTTACTTTTATCAATTCGCCCAAGCCAGAATAACGTAATGTCTTATCAAAAAAAACATATATACACGACGAAAAAAGAACCTTTTGAAGTCGATCAAATAGATATAGGTTCAATCAATACTGCTAAACAATACTGGTAGTTAAAGTTTTCGTAATATGAGTAACCCAAAGTAATGGAGTAATGAGTAACCTAACTAATGTTGCTGCAACTTAGGTATCATTTGGAACGAAGCTTGAACTTAAACGACTATGTTTTACTTAATATTTTTTTAGTAACAGTAAGCACTTTTAACAATCCTGTAAGATTTCGATTTTATAAAACGTCCTGAGTTTTACTAGTACATGAAAATATCAATACAGCGGTAATTTGATTACTAGCATTAAAAATATAACCATTTCCAAAAACTCGGAATTTAATGTCCGTAGTCCCAAACTATTTGAAATAAACACTAATTAGGTATGGTTTGCTTTACAGTGAATGAAAGTACATCTGATAGACTCAATCATTCATATAAAAAATAATAAAACACACATTTACACACTTACAATAATTAAAATCACGGCTTCATTGTTTTAAAACACAATAGAGTTAATGTTTCAGTAGATCGTGTATGTAATGTAGTCACAAATTAATTCTTTAGGAACTATAAGTCTCATTCATATTCATGGTGTCCTATGGATACTTTTATGGGTTGAGATTAGTTTCCTGAGACTCATTAAGGGTGGTTCTCTGCATTATTCATGAGTTGGGCCCCAATGTAAAGGTGTTAGTTTAGGATTAACAATCGTGCACCAATGACCACTCCCTCAGAGGTTTTGGACACAGTTGCCTTAGACGGCTAAGTATTATCAATATTAAAAGCAATGGAAATCTTTAATTGATTTCCATTATAGATTGTATCTATCTACAAGCTATTTATTCAGCAATTATTTGTAGGCAGGTACGTGAAACACAAATGGGCTGCGCCGTTTGAATGCAAATATCGAATTAAAAAGTACCTGCATACATTATTACCTACGTTAATTTTAACACTCATGGCTACAGGATTTTTGGTAAAACAACCTTTTTTTTAATGCTTAATAGGCAAAGCGTTTGACCACAATCTCGCCTGATGGAAAGCGATGATGAGGCCTAGGCCTACATCTCCTTATAAGTATTACCAAATATAAACAGGGTAAATGTTTTAAGCATTTTTTTGAACTTTACATTTCGTTTTTGTAACAATTCACTTTATTTATATTTCAAAAGACATCAAAGTCCTAATTAATTTCATCATTAGAATAACCGTCTATGAATATGAAACAAATTATTAATAAAATCAATTCGTTATTCCAGGGCTTAAACTCTTCGAATGAGGCTTCCTTGTCCCTGAGGCCTCTGGAGATAGTGGCCCCTCGAATTGACACCTACAGGTTCTCGATGGCGAACCTAGAGGAGACACAAGACGCTGACTTAGATGCTATCCTGGGAGAGCTCTGCGCTCTCGACTCTGAGTATGATGAAGAAATATCGAGGGTCTCTTCTGGTGAGTTAACTTTAAGTTCTATAATCTTAAGGGTCCCAAGGTGCTTCAATGGCGACCTCGCACGGGAAGTGCAGTGTCGGTACCAGGTGGACTGGAGACATCAAAGGAGTCGCGGAAAGCGCACAACCGTTGTGTTTGCAAATCCCTAGAGGAGGCCTATATCTAGCAGTGGAGGTCCATCGCCTGACTATGATGATGATGTCTATAATCTTTTCTATCCGATTGATCTTAATGCAAGGGGTATAAGGGGTGCCGCCTAACACCCAACGGCACCCAAGCCAACCTCACCTGCCCGCGGTGTACCCTGCCGACCAACGGACGAGGCTCTGGCGCTCCCCACCAACCCGCACTGGGCCAGCGTGGTGGGAGACGGCCCAAAACCCCCCCTAAAATGATAGTACATAATAAGAGGCCCCAAGTGCCCGGCGGTGCTGGAGTCCGTGGCGGCGCTGACGGACGCCGACTCGGCGCCGGGACCAGGGGTGCGAAGAATCCCCGGGCGGCAAAAATCCCCCGTCGAACGACCTTGGCCCTGGCAACGTACAACGCACGCACACTACGGACCGAGGAGAAGCTGCTGGAACTGGAGGAAGAATTGAGCAGGATTCGCTGGAGTATTGTAGGACTATCAGAAGTCCGAAGAGAGGGCGAGGACACGATGGTCCTTAAATCCAGCAACCTGCTCTATTTCCGGGAGGGCGAAGATCTGTCCCAGGGTGGTGTCGGGTTTGTTGTCCACAAGTCTCTCGTGAACAATGTTGTACAGATCGGTAGTGTGTCGAATAGGGTGGCGTACCTTATACTCAGAATCACCAAACGGTATTCGTTGAAGGTCATACAGGTATACGCTCCGACCTCGACGCACCCCGACGAGGAAGTGGAAGTCATGTATGAGGATATTTCTCGGGCAATGCATGCTTCCAGGACCCATTACACCGTTGCCATGGGGGACTTCAACGCAAGGCTGGGCAAACGTGGCGATGATGAGTTGAAAGTGGGGCAATTTGGAGTTGGAATCCGGAACTTCCGAGGTCAAATGCTAGCCGATTACATGGAGAAGGAGGGACTCTTTATGATGAACTCCTTCTTCAGAAAACGGCTGCATCGAAAATGGACCTGGAAAAATCCGGATGGCGTGACAAAAAATGAGATTGACTTCATCATGTCGACTAAGACTCGGATATTCAATGATGTCTCAGTGATCAATTCGTTCAATACGGGAAGCGATCACCGAATGGTAAGAGGCACATTGAATCTAAATGTCAAAGCCGAAAGGAATCGACTGATGAAGTCCACGCTCCGTCCTGAAGCCATCCGGATCCAAAACCCCGAGCGCTTTCAACTCGAACTGCAAAATCGCTTCGATTGCCTAGAGAGCTGCGTAGACGTGGACAATTATAATGACAGGTTTGTTGAAGCTGTCCTTACGGTGGGCTCGAAGTTCTGCAAGCCCATCCGTACCAAAAAACGCAGCAAGATCTCGGAGCCGACTCTCAAGCTCATGGAGAAAAGGCGTGAGATGGGTCTGCAGTCCTCTGAAGATGCACGTCGGCAGCTCAATAGGCAGATTTCGAAGTCTCTGACTCGCGACATACGCCGCTTTAATACTGATCGTATTAAAGAGGCCATCGAGCGGAACAAAGGCTCGAAAGTGTTCGCAAGAAATCTGTCTCTTGGACAGAGTTTGCTGACGAAGCTGAAGACAGAGGACGGCAGAATCATTTCGTCGCAACCTGAGCTTATGGCTGAGATCGAAAGCTTCTACGGACAGCTATACGCGACATCACGAGTACCTGTCACAAAGGCGACCGACCCAAGAGCCAAATTAACCCGACACTACACCGAAGATATCCCGGACGTCAGCCTGTACGAGATTAGTGTAGCTCTGAAACAGCTCAAAAACAAAAAGGCGCCGGGTGATGACGGAGTTACAGCCGAGCTTCTGAAAGCAGGTGGACGACCAGTGTTGAAAACTCTTCAGAAGCTATTTAACTCTGTCATACTCGAGGGCAGAACGCCTAGCGCATGGCATAGGGGAGTGGTGGCGCTTTTCTTCAAGAAGGGCGACAGGGCCAATTGAAGAATTACAGACCCATCACGCTCCCGAGTCATGTATACAAGCTGTTTTCGAGAGTCCTCACGAATCGTCTCGCGCGCAGGTTTGACGACTTCCAGCCTCCCGAACAAGCCGGATTCCGAAAAGGGTTTAGTACCGTAGACCACATCCATACGCTGCGGCAGGTTATACAGAAGACCGAAGAGTATAACCTGCCATTATGCTTGGCGTTTGTGGACTACGAGAAAGCCTTCGATTCGATAGAGACATGGGCCGTGCTTCGGTCACTCCAAAGGTGCCAAATAGACTATCGATACATCGAAGTGTTGCAGTCGTTGTATGAAAACGCCACTATGTCAGTTCGACTCCAGGACCAAAACACGAAGCCAATCCAGCTGCAGCGTGGTGTAAGACAGGGTGACGTTATATCACCGAAACTGTTTACAGCTGCGCTGGAAGACGTTTTCAAACTTTTGGACTGGAGCGGACTTGGCATCAACATAAACGGCGAGTACATGACGCACCTTCGATTTGCAGATGATATCGTAGTCATGGCTGAGACCATGGATGACCTTGGCACAATGCTCGGCGACCTCAGTAGGGTGTCCCAACAAGTAGGTCTCAAAATGAACATGGACAAGACGAAAATCATGTCGAATTCCAATGTCGTACCCACTCCAGTGACTGTTGGGAGCTCTACACTGGAAGCTGTTGACCAGTACGTATACCTGGGACAAATAGTCCAACTGGGTAAGTCCAACTTCCAGAAAGAGGTTAATCGACGAATCCAACTCGGCTGGGCAGCGTTCGGGAAGCTACGTAGCATCTTCTCGGAACATCTACCGCAGTGCCTCAAGACGAAAGTCTTCAATTCGTGCGTGTTGCCAGTGATGACATACGGAACCGAGACGTGGCCGCTTACAATGGGTCTTGTAAGAAGGCTCAAAGTCACCCAAAGGGCAATGGAGAGGGCTATGCTCGGAGTTTCTCTGCGTGATCGAATCAGAAATGAGGAGATACGCAAGAGAACTAAAGTCACCGACATAGCCCACAGAATTGCAAACCTTAAGTGGCAATGGGCAGGGCACATTGCTCGCAGGACCGATGGCCGCTGGGGCGGAAAGGTCCTCGAGTGGCGACCGCGTACCGGGAAACGCAGTGTTGGCAGGCCCCCCACAAGGTGGACCGACGATCTGGTAAAGGTCGCGGGAAGCCGCTGGATGCGGGCAGCATGGGACCGATCGTTGTGGAAATCCATGGGGGAGGCCTATGTCCAACAGTGGACGTTTTTCGGCTGATGATGATGATGATGATGATGATGATGATGATGATCTTAATTGAAGGTGTCCCGTCGTAGATTTGCGAAAAGATGGCGAGGTTAACCGACTCGTACTATAAACGAAACAAATAAATTACCTCGGGTGCCGTTGTCCCATTAACATTCGAAAATATTTTCTTGAAAGTCGTAATACCAAATGTGGGGAACTAAGTAAATAAGCACTTCAATAAAAAATTAAGTCTCACGCGCTACAGTTTAAGACCTTGGCCTTTAGAAAATGTTAAATACTCAAACCGACGAGTATCGATTGTCAACTTTTAAAACTATCGGTATTCGGAAGGAAACTTTACAGTTCTAAAACTAAACTCTTGTAATCTAGAACTTGTAATATTCGTACATTATATTTATATGAAATTAATTATTTTATATCGGCAACGGTTCGGAAACACTTGGTCATCCTGCTACAATAAATATTATGTCACTAACATTACCGTCACCAGTAAAAATAAAGTAGTATTCATGTATTTGTCACTACAAATACATCTTTCGCGATTTTTGCAAAGTGTAATATGAATTATTTTAAAATAAGTGAATTAACAAATGAAATCGTTAACTGTATGGATTGATGACGTCTAAAATTGTTACCGTTAATTTACTATACAATAGCAATATTTGTAGTACAGTCTGTATATATACACAGTCCAACATACACTGCATCTTGTGAATGGAAGCAATTTTCCATATTATAATAATTATTGTTTTTATGAAAGAATGACATCGTACTTCGTCTAATAATTAGTTGGTAGATAAAAAACAGAAATTGTCGGCATTAGTAAAGAAAAAATAAATAGGACTATGAAATAGCATTTTATTGGTCATGGTGCTCTCTCAGTTTTACAAATAAAACAAGATTCAGCGGGTTATTCGTCTTCGGAAATAATTCGAAACGAATTCCTGCAAAGGTGGCGAAACGTCAATAAATAAAAAATAAGTAATAAAATCAGTGCATCTTACCCATTGAAACTTGTTTTATTTAATGAGTGATGTGCGTGAAAACCTAAGAAACAAAATCAGTTTTACAATTTATGGTGCCAATGTCAAGTCCAATGATGTTGCAAAGTCAAAAACTCGTTGGTAGGTTCAATTTAAAACAAACAGCGCTTTTATTATAGTAATGAACGATGACAGCAGCACTATCAGTAAGTGTCGTTGACAAGGAAAACTACCCCGTTCTTATGTTTCGTCTTATCATTATCGTCATATCAGCCGTACGGTACGATGCCGACTGCTGAGCATAAGCCATAGGATGTTTTTCTGAATATATTTAAAAAGCGATAATAACAAACCAACTTGTTATTAAATTAGGTAATTATGAAAAAAATATCTATTAATAATAAAATTGTAAATATTCTACTTGTAAAATTTGTCACTCAATGGGACAAGGAAATTGCGATGCTTTTTATTTCCTGCACGATATCATCAGAAATGAGAAAATCTGTATAAGCACTACACGTAGTGTAAAAACAGAAGTCCGTAGAAACACAAAGAATCTTTAATGGTGACCAAATACTGGATGACGACTTTCAGGCTAGTAGGATCTATCCCCGTCTTACCCATCGCATTAGGTGGACCGAGCGACGATCTGGTGAGTTGCGTAGATGCGCAAAACCGACGTAAAGATCTTTGGGCAAGGCCTAAGCTCATTATTGGTCATTGTAAGGCTGAGATGATGATGACGAACAATCTTGATTGTTATAGTGTGTACCCATTGCCATGGCTTTGTACAGTTTATGGTCTTTGGATTAAAAGAGATTTAACCGTAAAATGTCGCTAATTGGTTAACCATCCCCTAATACAACATAATCATGTGCTATTTACATCTTCAGCCAGACATAAATAATGAAACCGTATTCTTCTGTTCGCTGCAGGTCACACATCTGCTTCCAAAGAACGAGGGGAAAGCAGCGAACGCTGCTCCCAAAGACCAGTTTGCATCAAGGAGTGCAGTGATGCGGCCTCCAACATCACCCGCACGGACTCGCCCGACAATGATTCCGCATTTAGTGATACTGTAAGTTAACAATTCTGGCATGATTCTCTAAACCTGAAACTAAATTTTATAGAATTATATCCATACCATGCTTGGTAGAGAATGAAATGGAGGAACATCTGTTAAATCCTCCTTGTGGTCAAACTTTCTGGTCTACCTAGTTTGTCCGATAGGAATACTTTAGGAAAACTAAAGTATGATTCTCACAAATATAGTATAAATATAGGGAAGAGAACCAGGGCAGAATCAGGCCCATCCACAGCTTTTCCCATTATGCATGAAAGAAAATAAATCACACATAAATCAATGGCAAAGTATCATGTATCGATTGCAAATGATCGTATACGTAGTACCTGTACAGAAAATTCAGCGCGTTCGTATGACATTATGTAACTGTCACCACTTTCATTTCTATTTTCAGGTATCAATGCTTTCGAGCGAATCATCCGCCTCAAGCAGTGCAAGTTCCAAAGCTTTGAAACTTAATTTACACCAAAACCAAAAAGTTAGTACATACAACTTACAGATAAATTAGATTATTATATTTTTATTTTAAGCATTTAACTGCTACATGTCAAAATCTTATGTAAATTTTACTAGAAAATAATCCACTGGCTCCAGGTTACAGACGGGATTCAAATCCGCATCACGCGCTTCTGTCCGGATAGCGGAAGATGCGGCTTCGAATCCCGTTTGAAAGCTGGAATGATTGGATTTTTTTTTAAATTCTGTACATTTACAGATAAATTCTTAAAATATATCTTTAACATATATGCATTGAAACTTCGATCAGGAATTGATTATTATCTACGTGTTTTTCTATTTATTTACAGGATGCTAGTTTCCAATTGAAAGCGGATAAAATAAAATTAGCACTGGAACGAATGCGTGAGGCCAACGTAAAGAAGTTGTTCATCAAAGCATTTTCAATGGATGGCTCCTCCAAAAGCTTGCTGGTTGACGAGAAAATGACGTGCGGCTACGTTACCAGACTTCTGGCTGACAAGAATCATGTCACTATGGAACCGAAATGGGCTATTGTTGAGCACATATTAGATTTGCATATGGGTAGGTTCCAAATATAATGTAACTTACCTAGAAACGCGAAATGTACGTAGACATAAATGGCGTCAATTCCATGTTACTCCCAGTTTATATGAAATATTTTAATATACTCTTGATTTCTTCATCTCTATATTTAAAAGCGACTGTCATCCATGGTTCTCAATGAGTGAGACAGAACGCGGAAATTCTGAAACAGCAGCATCACTAATCATTTTTTGCTTTTCCTAAAGTTTACTCTTTTTCTTCAATAATGATTACCTTTCTTCAGAGCCCTTTCACATTTTTTGCAAAAAACATTTCTTCAGAGCCCTTTCACATATTTTGCAAAAAATCGTAATTTTTGAGCGCCTCGTTTACCCCCTTAGAAAAGATTTTGACTATTTCCAATAGAAGTAGACAGTAGAGTTATTCTTTCTATTGTAATTTAATAGTTAATAATATTTGCAAATACTGTTTTCCTTTTTTTGTACTGATCGTTCGACTGCAGGTAGTTTACGGAAAAAACGATAATATGCACAACTTCAAACGCCTCAATCTCTCAATAATGTTCAATAAATTTGATCTAATTAATTACTAACACATCAGAAATATGTTTTTGTTGTAACATAATGTATTAGAATTTTGATTTTCCATCTTCATCATCATCATCATCAGCCTATTAATGTCCCCACTGCTGGGGCACAGGCCTTCCCTTCTTCCTTCCTTTTCCATCTTATTAACCATCGAAAAAAAAACATCTAACCTCCATTTCTAAAAAATAATGCAGGTTTACCTCGTATTTTGATATTGAATTAAATAGGATTACTATCAAAAACTTTCATAAAACTTATCTACCATCATTGCTATAATAAAATAATTATTTATAACTACTGAAATATGTATATTTTATTATAATTAGTTCATTAATAATTATTTTATAAGACTCGAAACATCACCCGTAAAATGCAATACATACTAGTGCAAATCTACATACACGTCGATCAGTACGGCAGCGGCGCAATTTTGTAAAAGGGCTCTTCAGTATTCTGATCTTTTCAGTAGTCTAATCTGACCTGGTTACTTAAAAACAATTCACTATAAAAATCAGTATCATATTTTATTTTCATGCTATATACATACTAACTGACTTTCCCTGTTTATAAAAATGTGAAGTACCTAAGTATTGAAATAATTTACAGAACGAGTATACGAAGATCACGAGTTGCTAGTTGACAATCTTATGTTGTGGACGAGAGAGTCCAAAAACAAAATCATATTTGCTGAGAGGCCTGACAAGATATCATTGTTCCAAACGCCCGAGAAATTTCTTTTGACAGAAGACGATCGAGGTAAGGACCCGTTGATTACATTTAATACTTCAATTGTAATCAAGTATTGTTGTTTTTACATGTTGGCGCATTCTATTGTAAAAACAGCTATCAAATTACAGCGAACTACTACTAAGAATAGTAATCTATATTATACTACAAAACAATTGACATGTTTTCAACACAACTTTAAAAAAAACATACAAAATTTGCCTAAACTTTAATTGAAGCACTGTCCAACTTCTTAGTTGTACAACCATGTGAATTTGACAGATTCTATAAAACAGAATAGTGGGAAAAAGAAGTTTGAAGTCCCTCAATAGGTACCTATTTATAAAAAGTTATCTTAGCTGTAGTTCCTATTTTAATAGAAAGTTTAAATGAATGGTTCTTTATGAAGTGTTTCCTCCCAACAGGTTGGTCCAGCGAACACGACGAGCATTCAAGACAAGTTATTTTGGAAGAATTTTTCGGTCAAAGTGGCGGGACCACTAGCACCGTTCCTTCGATATCCGGTCACCCGGTGCCCCCCATGGAGGGGCCCCTCTATCTGAAGAGTGATGCCAAAAGAGGATGGAAGAAATTCCACTTCGTCCTTCGACCTTCCGGTTAGTCAAACGAGTAAAGCTATGCGATGTGTGGCCACACTATATTTTTTTTTTACTTTTCGTGCATTATTTTATTTTGCAAAAGCGAATTTGCTCGTGCGAATTTTACTCCAATTTTTAAACTATTCACGTTATTATACGATTTGTTTTGATTTGTTCTCTCAATAGGACTATACTACTCGCCGAAGGACAAAGTGAAGACACTGAAAGAGTTAGTCTGCTTGGCGACTTTCGACACTAACGAAGTTTACTTAGGGTTGAATTGGAAGAAGAAATACAAATCGCCGACAGATTACTGCTTCGCAATCAAACACCCGAGACTGCAGCAACCAAAGAGTGTTAAGTTCATAAAGTTCCTGTGCGCTGATGACCAGCGCACCTTAGAGCGATGGGTGACCGCCATCAGAATAGCAAAGGTAAGCATTATTTTTTACTACTGATATGAAATATTTATATATTAAGATAAACACGAACCAAAAGGAGAGCATAATATAATATTTAATTACATGAATTAATAAAATAAATATAGATTTAGTATCAAGGAATTCATACATCCAACGGCAACCTCAACCGTTAGTTACTTATAATAAATTCTTGGTTATTACACAATACTTTTATTGTAAAACCCTTGATCTCAAAAGAGTAGCTAATATAAAATTGATATTTTTGCTCTTAGTTTGGCTAGCATATACTTGCAACCGATTTGCGACTCGATGTTTCGCTACCAAATTGCGCGCTAAATAGTCGCTAAAAGCTCTAAAATAGTACTTAAACAACACCACCCACACCTCCGTTGCTCTAAATGACCGACGATAACCAATGTGATTTGTTTGCAACTAGATACAAAAAATCTGAATCAACGATAGATACCGAAAACTAATCGAACTATCGTTAACTTGGTATTTATACGTATGTACGACGTAAAAACTATATATTATAGAAAACTAACTTAGAGTAGGATGGAGGACAATGTGACCACGATATATCGAAAGTCAACTGAGTACCCAGGGCGATTATGTAAAACAATATCTCACTTCTGAGTTAGATCAGTTAAATCATAGACAACTGGCCTAATTCTGACTCATGCCAAGAATACACTGTTGTCATGCTTTTTAAAGAATGAATAGAAGATACTATTGTCAAATTTAGTTTAAGGTTTAGAGAATCATGCCAGAATTAGTCCCATTATTTATTTAAGCATTACGGCATAGATAAATGATTGGTCTCGCTTAACGAGTGAAGCAAGACCAATCATTCATCTATGCATTACGGTATTACACGACAAAATGTCGCAAAAACTTAGAATTGTCAAAAATCCGTGATATTGAAATCGGGAATAAGATTGCATGTTACAGAATCTGCGCGCAGGCGCTGATATAAGTAAACTAACTAAATAACTGATATAGGCAAACAGGACACTGCGATTTACCATGCTTTTAAATTGTATAATTCCGTTTTTGACAGGAAGGTATCTACATAGGTATCTATTTTACTCCAACATTCATCACTCAGTGCAAGCATACTATGTAGTTACTTTGTGCTTTTCACGCGGCCTTATTAATAATAAAATGGCAGTGTTGAAATTAATAAAAACGCTCCTTCATTTACAGCATGGAAGGCAGCTGTTAGAGAATTACCGTTCATTAGTAGAAGAGCTTACACAAGAAGACTTGGACCATTTAGCACATGCGCGATCTTGTTCGGTAAGTGTAAATACATACGTAATCTGCAATTATAGTAAAACAGGTACTAATATTAGATAAATCTTTTTTTGTTACCTAGGTATGCTGACCAAAACAAGGTACTTAGATTAAATTTGTTCAAAATCGATAATTGTGTTTGGAATTCTGAATTTCAGTTTTGTAAACATGTTGTGTAATTTTTTAGTGAATACACAAACTGGCGTTCTCTGTGTTTCTCTTACACTCATACTTAGTCCAAATCCAGTACAAACAAGTAGCGTGTGTTTTAAAGAATGAAAGTGTGCAGTTTTCGGTAGAAATGAATAGGCAACAATACTTAGGTAGGATTCAACTTTATAGAAGTTTTGATTATTAGTTGAATAAGAAATGAAACGCTAGAGAGTGAATCCTAAACATAGCACCTGTAGTACACGTAATTAAGTCCCTGTCAACCACTGTCCTGGCAGTCGCACTCTCCTAGCTTCTTCCAAGTAAACACGCAGCCCAGTTGCAGTGAGAAAAACAACCACAGTAGCCGCCTTGGTGCTCCTTGTATGCCCAAGGTTAATTGCCCAATACGGGGAATTCACAATATCACTGAATTGTTTAGAAGAATTAAGCGATACAAACAATTAAATATATTCAAAATCGAATAGATAGCCGACAGTGATTTGCTATAGACGTTAAATATCGGTTTATTTAGTCTCGGATAAACAAGTTGTTTAGTCGATGCTGCAGAACGAGTGAGTCGACGTGGCTCGACGAATGAACGCTCGGTCGCCGCGTGCGCAATAACAACTGAAATAGCTAAACAAGCGGTTCGCCCCTTTCGGCTTTGCTTTCTGATTTATTTTGATAATATTTATATTTTTGCTAGTTTCTAGCAGTAGTTGGTTTTAAGTTCAAATTTAAGTTACTTTTAATTCCATTCTCGCCCCCATTCTTTAAATTACATTTCTTATGTTTTTGTAAGAAATAAATATAGCAAAATGAACGTTATAGTAATATATGTTATTAACGGGATTGTTACCATGTACCTTGTTTTTAGCGAGTTTCCGATATTTCGGCACTGTTGCAAGCGCCATGATCACGGTGAATGTTACTTAAGTGACTACTTACTCTTCGTAGATAACTTCGATCCCGACTAAGACCAACGGCGGCGCTACTGCGGGCGTCAGCAGTCCCGTGCAGTCGACCGCCGGCAGCGTCGCCAACTCCGACATCAGCAGTGGCAGGTTTGTACGCCTACATTATTCCATGCATACTATATATTACTACTACTTACTTAATATACTATACTTTATCCTACTCATAACATAAATGCGAAAGTTAGTATGTTTATTACTCAATCACGCGAAAACTACTGAACATGTTTGGTTGAAATTTGGTACGCATATAGTTTATGACCTGGATTGAGACATAGGATACTGTTTTTCCCAAAAAAATTTTAGGTTCCTGTGGGATTGTCAAAAAACTAAAGATAACGCGGATGAAGTTGCGGGCGACCGCTAGTTCTTAATATTATGAATGCGAAAGTGTGTCTGTCTGTCTGTTACCTCTTCACACTTAAACCGCTGAATCGGTTTAGATGAAATTTATTATAGAGATATAGTTTGAGTCCCAGGAAGCTTTTTTTTCCTCAGCTTTTATCTTAGAAGCCCTTTAAGGTAGTGGAAGTTTCTATCGGAAACGATTTTTTCTATGCAGACGAAATCACGGACACCGACTAGGTTACTTATGCATTAAGTATATTTTTAATATAGTTATACAGCAATATTTCAGTCACTTACTCGTATGCGAATCACATTTTTAACATGTTTAAAGAAAACTGTTTTAATTTTAAGTCATACTATACTAAGATATTTAATGTTTGTAGAGTTGATTTAATTTTATTGAATTCCAATTCCAAATGTTAAATAATATAACGTTACAACATGTTCTCGTGGCTTTAATAATAAAATACTTAACAAAAGTGCCCCCCATGCATGATCCGAAACAGTGTGATATTGTCATATTATCGTGGTCATGCTACGAGGGCTGTGTGTGCAGATAAATCTTTGTTTTCTCATTATTATTTGCACAACTATTTTATATTTGTTTATAATATAAATATATTTTTTTTAATCTTGCATAGCGAATTATCTACTACGTACCTTTTTGTAATGCTGACAGATGGCTTGTGCAAACGTTAAGCTTATGCCTTAGATGAAAGAAACCACGCTGATGCGCTTCTATTACAGTGTTGTCACATAAAATTTTGGAAAAATTGTAGAATAGGGTGCAGAAATTGGAAGATTTTGAAATAAAAGTAGATAGGTCGTAAGCAGGTGGATACGTGGGTCAGTAAATACGTAGTAGATACATACATGGGTCAGTAAATACGTAGTAGATACATATATGGGTCAGTGCTTTTTAATGATTAAAAATGCGTAAATTAGTCTTTAATGTTATTTATACCACAAATCAACTAAGAATAGATCCTAAATCTACGTTTTTAAGCCATCTTTTGCAGATAGATAGATCGAAGGCAAAATAGGTCTAGATCTACCTAAAAGTTGATTGATGTGACAACACAGCTTTGATAGATCAGTGACTTATTTTTTTTTAAATTAAGATAACAATAACATTTCTAAATTCGATGGTAGGGCATTAAATTGATCGCTTTGTGTCACCAGCAGTGCCAAGCCCTAAAACTTATTTAAAACAATACTTAAATGTCTTCTATGATCTGAATGAAGGTGCATCCAGATTATTTAGCATGTTATATGACTTTTGTTATATCACATTAACCAACATTGTTCGTCTACACTTGTATAACATTTTATAAGACATTTTAGTTAAATAATATGGATGCACCCGTTATATATTATTTATATAGTAAGTAGTTTTCATAAAGTTATCAGTATTGTGATGTTTGTATAACAGGCACTCCCGCGCATCTTCGTCTAGTTCCAGCGGCTGTTTGTCCGATGGCGGAACGGCTTCGGAGAGTGCATTCGATTGCGAATTCCCTATGGGTAAGAACATCATCATCATCGCCTATAAATGACCAAACTACTGGGGCACAGGCCTTCCCTATCGATGTAATAGAGAGATTGGGTTATGACCTACCACGCGGTCCCAGTGCGGATTGATGGATGCTAACAACTGCAGATGGACCAACGTCTTGACGTGCCTTCCGAAGAACGGAGGAGCTCGAGATAGTAACACTTGCGCCATCAAGCTCCTGATATGATATCTAGATAAGAATGGGTACCTAAAAACAATACCTACATAATTATTTCACTATTTCATAATAATTTGTAAAGAAAAAAGCTACCTACTCAATTCAAGGTACACAAAACAACTTTTCAAGAACTCAATTCTTTAAGAACATTTCACTACAAAAAATTTGCAGATAAAAAAACAACAAATATTGTTTAATGGGTAGGATTGATGAATCCATTTGCTTCTCTCCTTAGCAAGACAGGTAAACCAAACATCGCGACAGAAAAAAGCAATTATAATGAAATCAAAACAATATTAATTGCAAAAACACCTGGGCTGATTGTAAAAAAGTTTCCTTACCTTAAAATATAAACCAAGCTCAAAAAAAACAAGTCCTTCAAGCCTAATGACATAGCCAAAATTCAAAGTGTTATAATATAGGTACTATGTAACTTATATTGTCCATATCAGGTACAATAAAACGCAAGCCATCCATGAAGCCCAACATCCCGCTCACATGGATGACGCGCCAGCTGAAGGAGATGGCAGAGAAGGGCGGCGAGCTGGAGGGCGAGGGCGAGGTAGAGGGTGAGGGCGAGGATGAAGGCTGCGGAGACGGCGGCACGCTTACACGCCGCCCGCGCGCCGCCCGCGACGACTCCACGCTCAAGCGGCACCATACCATCGGTGAGGAACTATCTAGATCATCAATAATATCGACATCCCGCTCACATGGATGACGCGCCAGCTGAAGGAGATTGCGGAGAAGGGTGGCGAGCTAGAGGGCGAGGGCGAGGATGAAGGCTGCGGCAACAGCGGCACAACACGATCGGTGAGCAACTATCTATACTCTATTCAACTTCCCCTGAAACAAATAAACCAATGTTTCTAAAGCTTTTTTATCGAGTCTAAAGATGGCTGGTGTAACTAGACTGTTAACAATTTTTCAAATTTTAACGTACATTATTTGCTGTGTGTGCTGCACACTACCCTTCAATTAAGTTTAGCATTCAAAGTTTGGGAATAGCTACAGTTTCAAGTTTTTTAATGACACTTTTTTATATCATACGCATATAAAAAAGTTCGACATATTGTGAAACCTTATTATTATGGTTTGTTTATCATACCAGAATCGACATCAATATCAACATCAATAATAGATGACGTGCCAACTGTGAAGGCAGATAAGGGCGGTGAGGACGACGGGTGAAGGCACCACACCATCGGTGAGGAATCATCCAGATTCTAGATGATTTCTCACCGATGGTCGGATGCCATAATCTAGATTCTAGATGATCAATAGAAGTAACCTCCAGCTGACGTGGATGACGCACCAGCTGAGATGGCGGATAAGGGCGGTGAGGGCGAGGGGTGATAGGCACTAAGCCATCGGTGAGGAATTATCTAGATTATCAATAGAAGCTACCTCAAGCTGACGTGGATGACGCGCCAGCTGAAATTGTGGATATGGGCACTGAACTCAAGAGCGATGGCAAGGGTGAGGACGAAGCAACGCACCATCGGTATTGGTGCACATTCTCACTAATTTCGAAATTCGTGCGTCAAATTCGTGGTATAACATCTTTTATAGTAGTTATAGGAGGATTATAAGTAATCTAATTTTAAGATGATTCTATCATATAAGATAACCCACCAGCCTGTCATAGTTGTTTAACCTGTGTTATTATTATTACTTGATAATGTAACAGTGTTATTCTGTAACTTTTATATGAAAATAAATTATTATTGTAACCAACCGAAATATAAAATAAACTCTTGCACTATTGTTGTAAAATTAATAATCTTCATTTAAAACTTTTACTAGAAAAAAATTGTCCCATTGGATACAATAGTTTCAAGTCAAAATTATCTTATAATCTTTAAAAATATATTTAATACTTAAAAGTTGATATTAATAAAGAAAATAAATGTTTATCTTTTCCTTTTTCAGAATCGGCCGATTCTGTACTGTATGGCACCACAACCAGTAGCCTCTTAGGATCATCGAGTCCTACCTTACCAGACCCGCCATCGCCATCGTACGGACATTACGAAAGCATTCCAAGGGATTCACATCGCAGCAGCGTGGACAACTCGTCTGCTTTGTACGGCTACACGACCATTTATGAAAAAGTACAGCCTGCACCTGAACCCGTCCAAGTCCTACAAGATCTACCACTGCCTCCACCGCCCAGCGAAGACGTACCAGATGGTATGTTTAGCTCGACCTTAAGTCTAGATTCTCTTCCGCCTCCACCACCTCCTTTAGAAACGATGGAGGATCTCTGCGGCTCGCAGCTCAGTCTACCGCCCCCTCCCCCTGAACACGCGATAGACGCCCACACAGGCAGAGTGCACGACATAGTTAACCAACTAACCGCTCAGCAGTTAGAACAAGCAGCACGTGCAGGCCAAGCACAGGCACAAGTCAACCTCAGGGCCAACAACCGCAACTCTGATCCCAGTCGAACGTTCCCAAGGCAGCCGTCCCTCGACAGTGTCCACTCCGAAGCGTCTCGGACGTCCTCCCTGCACTCGGACAAAAGTATTTACGGTCAGAATCCTGCATACGGAGCATGCCTCGTTGAGCTTCAAAACAAGAAAATAAGCAACGGTAGTCCATCTATACAAAAAAAGATAACCAGTGAACCCAGCAAAGAACGCACGGGATCGATAAAGAAAGTAATTTTTGCTGATGATCTCCCCACCAAAAATGATGATCCCAAGAAAAACAAGAAAATATCTTTCAACCTCAAAGAGCCCCTACCGCCATCGCCACGTAAGCCACTGCCGCCTAAGCGGAACGAGAGCACAAGACTGTCGTCGCCTAAAAAACTGGCGGACTCCAACAGCAATCCCCCGAAAGAGTTTCTGAAGGACTTGCAAAGGGTCATGCGGAAGAAATGGCAAGTTGCGCAAAAGTGCAAGCTGGAACCGGCGACGACTCCGCACGAGGTGCTGGGTTTTCGGGAGTACCCTCTGACGCAAGATTACAAGGAGACTAGTGTTTCTATGTGGATACAGGAGCATTACGGGGGTCTTGTGGAGGATCCATTCTACGAGAACGTATTCGGGCGGGAGGAAAGGCCGAGGCGGGAAGAGCCCAAGCCCATAAAGAAGCGTCCGCCGCCGGCGCCGCCGCGCCGCAGTGAGTCCACGCACCTCTCCTCGCACTCGCAAGCGGCCGCGCAACCAACCGTCTGAACCGCAAACGCGGAACCATCCGATGATCACTTTTCATCCCTTTGTCCATACACACAAGACTTTGGGCTTAAAGCCCCATTGGTTTCGGGAGAAGGACTCGACGAGAAAAATACCTAACAAAAAGAACTTCGATTTGAAAATGTCACATTAAAGACAAATCACTTTTATTGGCATTTTCATAGTTTTTGCGGGAAAAGTAAGCAAGTGAACGATTGCGCGTTGTTGCGTGTAGTGTCATGGGATGTCAACCCAAAAACTAGTGCGGTATGGTACAAAGTCCTGCCAGATCGTGGTGTCCTGTAGGCTAACTTGAAACATTAGCCTTACGGTGTGCGGGAAAATTATTGATTCGATGGGTCACGCGACAATGTCGACGACTTCATGCATCTGGACAAAAAAAATGGTAACTTTTGATTAAAAAAAATGTTTTTATTAAGTATTTATCGCTCTCTGAGGAAACAAATTGAAATTTTCATTACTTAAATTTTACTATTCTCACCGTAACGTACAGAATTTACTGTTATTGTGTTTGACACATAACGACTGACCAATTCCATGAATTATACAATAAATTAGATGGCAAATTAGAATTAATATTAATAATTAATTTATGTAAAAAAATGAAAGGCGGTGCTATTTTGAAAAGGTATACTCTAAGGTATGTAAGTTGGAGTTCTTCAGCTTGTAACATAAAAATTGGTAATTATGGTTAATTAAACTCGTAAAAAGTGTGCGCTAAATTTAGATATTGTTACAAACTGATCAACACCACGAATGCGAAATGTGTTTATTGCACGAGTTGGAGTTTTGTCAATTTTATTTTATGTTCCTAGATAATTATTACGAGTTGAACAAAATTTTAAACGTGTCTATTTAACGATGGTCATTATATAGTCTAACATTCCTTAGTCTATTCACCCTGGAATGGACGGATTCTGTGGTGATTTTATATATTGCTAACAAGTTACGGTTAGATAATAAATAAATTAAACATATTATTTTAATAGATCTACTTGTTCAGGCGTCTTATAGCATACCAATTTTGCAACAGCAATTACATGGGATCTTCTTTTTCTTCTTTTCGAGTTAATTCTTTCTTTTCAGGATGTTCTTATCTGGCCAGGGTAAAGACTCTTTAAAAGATTGACTTTCGGCTTATCAGCTAAAGGGCGATATATAATATACCCATTTGGAGGCTGTTTGTATTTCCAAAGAATTGGTGTCTGCATGCGTTGGCAAAATATTTTGTAACTAGAAAAATTGGCTTCCTGATACTTTCTTAAATGATCCCAGTGCCATGTTTGTCAATCTGTTAAGAATGTTCCCTCCTTCCGGTTGAGTATGAAGCTTTGCTGTGCTAACAGAAGTCGATGTTGTAAGCTGCAACATTACTAAGTAAGCTGGTTATCTGCTATAGAAAAATTCACACTAGGTGGAGTGGGAGTAAAGGTGCTTAATAAGATGGCTGGTGTAACGGATAAATCTACTCTAGGGGACATAACCTTGCTGGAAAATTCTGTCTCGTTGAGTCATTTGTTATTCCTGATTAATCCAAAAATTCTGAACGTTCGAACGAACGAACGTATGGTAAATAGTTGCTGTCTTATTAATATTAATAAATAAATGAGTCTTATTAATTATTCCCTAAAAGATATTTATTGTCCGTTAACTAACGCATCAGGTGTGTAGGCACACTGTCCCGATCCCCGCAAGTATTGTTATTAAGCCGAAAATACCCATTGCAATAATCGAAAACATCATTAATCCTTGCACTGGGAAATAGTTCAAAAGATTTTTAATCTAATAGACTTGTTTTTTATTCACCATTGTGTAACTAAATACACTACTTGTATATATTATCAACATTTTCAGTTCGATTATATGTAAGTATAATTTATTTTTGGTGGCTTAAAGCAAAGGTTTAGACGTTTTGGAGTGTTGTATCGGAGTTTGAGTTACTTACTGTTGCCAACCTGTCTCATACAAGCCAACGGAATCCAATCAATAAGTTGTATGGATAAATTCATCACAATAACAACTGACGCATTCGGCATCTTGTTACTCATTCGTATTTAGAATAGTATGAATATATATTTCATAGTTCCATGGTGTAGATATATATTTAACGTTTGTCGTATGTAGTAGCACCACGTTGTAATAATCGACGTTAATGTAGCAAATAGTGAATCCCTACATAATTCCTAATGTGTGCCATAGTCGAAACAAAAATATTAAGCTTACTGTTATATATGTACAACTTTTTTTTACTGTTACAATTAGATAAATTAGTTGTATAGTTTTGAACACTGTTTTGATGAACAAGATAAAAAAAGGATTCGTTCGTATGGTAGCGTCGCCGTTTGTTATATTCTGCAGTGTTAATTTCATAACTTGAAAGGGACAAAATGAAAAATCCACAGAACTCCAATGTGTATGATCTCAATTTGTACCAGCTGTAAGTGTATGTGTTTGGGCTGTGATATTCGAGTCTGGCTTGTTTCATGATAATTTCTCTCTCTCAATAAGGCGCTGAAAACCTAACCTAACAGCAGCTGTAATTTTATACAAATCTATTACTTACAATCAAATTCTCATTGTACTGTATTGATATTTAAAATTTTATAGGTACATATATATCTAACTATGATATTTGAAAATGACTGTTTCGTGTTTTTAATCTATTTAAATATAGGTAATTTATACTTTTGTTTTAATATAATATTGACTATGCGCGAAAAGTTACGCAAATAAGGTTAATTCGACAGCACAATAACTTTTACAATAATAATCACATGTGTAACGCAAAACTGAGGCTATATCATAAACATGTGTTTTGGAATTTGACTATGTTGAAGTCAAATCCCAAAACTTGCCAGCACATCATTATTAACCATGTTCTCTCACTGGATAGCTTTTACAGTGTGCATTATTTCTTAAATGAATGAGGGTTTTCTGGAATAACGGTGGCAGCGCTGAGGCGAAAGATCTTTAGGCCCTACCGCCAATCGAAATTGCTTTGGCTATTGCTATAAGATACAGTAATAGCCAAAGCAATTACTTTTTGCATATATAATAACAATATTGAAGAAAATGAGCGCGAGGGATTTGAAAACCTTCAGTGGTCAGAAATAACAAAATGAATTCAAAATCTATAGCAATAGCCCAGGCAATCCCAATAGGCGGTAGGCCCCCAGGTCTACTCATCCATCAAATCGCGTATTTCGTCTTAGTCGATACTGGCAATGTACAAATCGTACGAGCTAATAAAAAGTCAATGGATCAATTTAAATGCTTGTTCCATTAACTCGCGCCAAAAACCTCATACATATAAGATCTCACGTCACAGTGGCGCCAGCTAGTTACGTAAAATTTCCTAAACACCCTCATTTTAGCAAAATAAGTTTCGAATACCTGATTAGACTAAATGTTAATAAATTTAAATTAGTAGATGTTATTATAAGTAATTAATTGGTGACACTCATTGATTTTTGACAAGTACCTAGTATTTACGATCGTATAGAGGCTGCAACAGTATATAAGATAAGCGAAATGCTAATGTGAATTCTCGTGTGTATTAATTGTTATTGAATTGTAGTAACATTGATCGATGTTTTATTGTGGAAGTTGCATTGTATTATAAGACGACGTAACCGCGATTTTTACTTATGTTATAAAAACTATAAAGTCAAGATAATTTTATAATACCAAAAGAATAAAAATTATATTGTAAATAATTTTCAAATGGGGCCACTTGCTCATAAGATCTATAAAAAAAATCAGAAGATATAAGAAGATACTATTAAAACCTTACTCTAACAGAAGTTTACCTTATGCAGTTGACATTACAGTGATGTTTTAAAGCGAATATAGCATAAGTATGATTTAATAATTTTGGTGCAAGTGACCCTTAACCCTTAATCAAATCCGAAACTGCCATAGATGTTATCGATGTAACTTCGAACTTATTAAATACCATAGAAAAGTAATGGACTGAGTGACACTTGAATGGCATGAAATTGACAACTATGTAGAAAGAGAGAAAGCGATGGTACGGCCAATATCTGTAAGCGCAACCGCACATTGAGCCACTAATCGCGGCCACTAAACGTGACCACAAGCGGCGGATGCGCTTTTTCATACATTTTGTATAGTAGGTAGCGGCGCAAGCCGAGAGTTCGAGCCACAAGCTGCGAAAGTCGCTCGAGCTGGCTTACTGTCCAAGGTCTTTTTTTCTACGCCTCATTATAATAATCAACAACGAAATCAATAGTGTTTTAATTTTTGACCGAAACTCGACAGAAATGAACGGAATTAAGCCAATAATGTTGCAACTAGTGGCCACCACTAAGACACTGGCGGGTGCGATTGGTGGCTGCGTCTAGTGGCTTGACTGAGCTCCTAGTGGTGGTGGTTTAGTGGCCTTGACTATTGGGCAAATTTGCGGTTGCTCTAACTGTTGGGCGCACAAACGCTTTGTTTTTTTCACACTTCTTTGTCCAGTTTTATTTAACAGAAAGCTCTGTTCCACTCAATAAGTTTCCGATTAATGCCCAATCAATAAGTACTGATTTATATTAGAATTGTCTATTGCACTATACGCTATTCACACTCTTTCACTGCTACGACCTCCTAGAATTACATTAGAATAATCAGAAACTATTTTTTTTTATGATAAATAATTAACCGGACTTTGCTCATTCTTCAATTCTTCACTCATTCGAGACCTCGCGATATCAATATTCCTTCGAAAACTGCCTTTGGTAAACTATACCATTATTACTTACATTATTTCGATTTTATTTTATTTATTTTTACATAGCTCATCATCATGCTAAAACGTAAACTAAACTTAAGTCAAATATCAAGTAAATAGTTTTATTATTGCCTCTATAGTAACATCATATCGTGTTGTAGGTACTTAGACCAAGCAGGATGTCCGCATTTTATTGATAGGTAGATAAAATGTTGTCTTTTATTTCTGTTCATAAAAAAAATGTCTTACTTAGTTTGTCACTGAATTTTAATAGGCCAAAATACAGTGGATCCCCGGTAGTCCGACAAACATTTTGCAGGGCAGTGTCGAACTATCGAATTTGTCGGATTATAGAGTACTGCCTAAGACCCCTATAGTCCGTTTTTTTTTACAAAAGAGTACCTTGTAATCCGACAAATTACAGATCCAATGATAAGATTACACATCATACTTTGTTATGTATGTCAAATTTAGTAAATTAAACAACACAATAGAAAGATTAAGTTTTATTATTAATGCTATAGATTTTACAAAAAAATATAAAAAACAATACCCTACGCGTCGAGCACAATAGTGATGGTGCGTACAAGTTGTAACTTGTTCAATCGTGAATTAGCTAATACTTGTATGTAATAGACGATGTCGGATTATAGGGGGTGCCGCATTATCCAGGGGCCGGATTACCGGGGCTCCACTGTAAATGAATTCCATCCAAGCACACCCGGATTTCATAAGACTGAGTAACAAAGTTTTTCTAATTGTTTGACAATACATAAACGAATTTTATAAATTTTATTTTGGTCTGCCTGAACACTTTTTCGAAGTTTTTATGCAGCTATAAGAAGCATCTAGGAACTTTATAGTTAATATTCCAAATATCTTATCAATTGAAAGATAAATAAAAATAATATAATAATAACATTAATTACTTAACAGTGCTGAATTTGATCTATATTTTTCATTGATAAAGAATATTATAAATAAATAAATTCTTTATTATTTGAATGTTATGGTTATGGCTTTGAATTTGTATCTTTAAAAGAGCTTAACTTAAAAACCTGTTAAAGTCATTGTATCGCTTTCGATTGGCTTCCATTGATAAGTTATCACGTAGTAATCAATATCATTGTTCGCTTCAATCTTTAAACGTTATCCAATATATCGTGAAAGTAAATAAATTCATTTGTTTGCCTTCACAAAATTATTTCAAGACTTCATTAATTTTCTATAAATATTAAACTAGTCAAATCTTATAATCAAGGCAGTAGATAGCTTAAACTGTTAACATCATAAGTGACAAAACACCTTTTTGACTTTTTACCATCTTTGCGTGACATTATTATCATATTAAATTCATTTATAATGTATGTATTCTAGAAGATCTGATGACTTATAAAAAGCAGTAATATCTTATTTTAGGACATGTTTACAAGTATTTAGTGCAGCGCGTGCTTGAAGTACACGAGTGTCCTTTTACACTAAAAGATTGAACACAATGTTTAAAATTGAGAAAATACTACTTGGCTCATTGTATTATGCACTCGTTAAATTATTTTTAAATAAAATAATTAATTCCATTTAGTAAACACTATTATTACATAGATTCCTTATACTACGACAAAACCTGTTTTCTGTTTTGTGATTTCTACCCTCATTAAAAACATCTCATTCTTCTTCGTTTTCTTTCGGTAAGTACCTACTTGTCTTTTTCGACTCGTAAACCAACGAAAATGATAAAGTAAAGCAATGAAATTCATTACGTAAACGTTTCAGAATAATTGTAAGAAACCTTACTATACTACGACATAGTCATAATAATGTGCAGAAATAATTTTTATCATCAAAAGCTTTCAAACAACGCTTAAACCATCATGTATATACGTTCATATTATAATATATAATTCCGCTCATAACTGAAATCCATACCGTTGTTATACTGTCATTGTTTCACCGGAATAAACAAATGAAAATGCACCTAAGTACTATATAAAATGACGTACCTATTAAATAAATGTATATAACTAATTAGATAATTACTTACGATCACCTTAGGGCTGACATACGCACCCGTATTAATAAACTATGAGCAGTAAGCTTGGACTAGTTACATAGTATTTTGTACACATCACTCAAATGCCATTTTGTAATTCGGTGGACAACGACAAAATATTAATTAAACTATACCAGCTTACACTAAGTTTATAATTATGGGCCACGATGTTTATGCTAGACTTTAGAGATACGGGTCGCAACCATCTTATAATGATGTTTGAATGGTTATCAAAACTGTGTAAGTAGGTCTTCTATCTTAAATGGACTTAGCAATCGATCAATTTTAATGTATCGCATTTATTAGTATTCATAATTATTATGTTAACATTGTACAGAACAAATTGATTGTAATATTGATTTTTTGTATATTTTTCAAATATAACGTATAATTCCAAGTGACTCTTTTTATTTTTTGTTTCAGGATTCCGTACTTAACAATCAGTTCATAAGCATATAAACAAACAAATAGCGATAAGCCCTGTTTTCTGTTGGTTACATTAATGGGATAAAATCCTGGTAACACGAGAAACAGGGGTTTATTAAATATTTTTAAGATTTGTATTAAGGTAGCCTTCTTCCTTCTGCTTTCGTTGTTTATTAAAAACATCAATGCAAGTTGCATCAAAACATTATTTGCTGAGAAAAGTAGTGTTGGTTTGGGTCACGTTAACGTTTAACGTCATCAACAGAAAGTCTTACACATAATTACTGAAGTTTCAACCAAAGTCCAAAAATATATATGTCTGTTAGCTCGGGTATATGAACAAACTATACCTATTGGCAAAAACCGTGCGATAGGGACAACAGCAGCTAACGTTGAAAATAATTTTTAGCGTTAACTTTTTCCTCCTCGAAAATTAGATATATGTAAAAGTAATTTTACTCATAGAATAATAAGTAACTATCATCATCAGCCTCTTTATGTCCCCACTGCTGGGGCACAGGCCTTCCCTATGGATGGAATAGGGAGAATGGGCCATGACACACCACGCGGGCCCAGTGCGGATTGGCGGGTGGTAACGACTGCAGATGCAACCGGGACCTACGGCTTGCCACACATTGCCTTCCGAAGCACGGAGGAACTCGAGATAGAAATTTTCGGTCACCCATCCAATGACCGACCACTGCGAAAGTTGCTTAACTACAACGATCGCAGCCGAACGCGCTAATCAGCTGCGCCATCGAGCTCCTCATAAGTAACTATACTAGGCCTCTATGTTTTGCTTTTTTTAATGTTTATTGAATCCCCACACTTTTTTGTTTATTTTGGGCATTTATGAGGGCTTCTACTTTCTTTGAAACACAAGTTATCGAAAAAAGGAGGACATAGAAGCATAGAATGAGTAAAATTATATTGTATGTATGAAAATCAATTATGTAGTGATAATAATCAAGGAGGAGTCAGTAGAGAACGTTTGTATCGAAAAACATTGCCCGCCTCCCTTTTTAACTCCCGCGCCCAGTGTTTAGCCCCCACATATTTTTTTCTTAAACATTTCCATACTGACGAACCGTGTACATAATAGTACTGATGCCCAGTGTAAAATAATAACTGTGGTAATACTGTGCCTCTTCCTTTCTTCAAAAACACAAGTCTCTTGCTTTACTTTCATTTGTGTCACACTGGTCACATACAATTATAGGCACTTAAAAGTAATACAAGTAGATACTCCCATCATACCTGAGCCCTTTATATGGGGTCGACACCAGACCTATGGCTTTATTGTTCATACCCCAAAAATGATACATGTATCTGATCCATAGGACTTTTATACAGCCGGCTCTCTAACTATAAAGACTTACGTGAGTTTAGTAATTTCAACTCTTTGCTTTAATCTTTTTTGAAGTACAGTGTAATATCTGTGGTATGACTTTAATCTGTTACTGTTTGTTGTTGACAAAATTATTTTTTATAACTTTTTTAATTAAATATTATTATTAGATATTTTTCACAATTCTTTATTTTAATAAAATGAAATTAAGTGTACCGTTTCAAGAATAGAAAAGGAAAATTCAAACAATGGAAAACGAAGGTGGTATTTCTTTCTATATCTAGGTACATTCATCCTCACTCCTTAATTGTTCACGCGCAGAAGGTAAGGTTTCAAAGGCACTTTCATTCTATTTCGCTCATTAAACCATTGTAAAATTCTTGGCTACTCCGATCAAAAATCATAGTTGACGAATGCTTGTACACATATTGCTGAGCAAGATTTCCCGTTCAAATTAGGAAACTATATTACTTATCTTCCACCTTACAGAAAACCACGGTGGTAAAATATTTCTACCAATTTTTTGCGAATAGGTATCTGGAGTGGCCTAAATTTTTTACTACTCCAGTCACTTAACTTCACAGCTGGACTCCCCTCACAATTAACGTGAAATATTCATTATCTACAATTTTTTTGCGAATACTGTTATTTCTATAACTACGTAAAAAATATTACATCATCTGGTTTTAACTCAGAGGACTGCAAATGTATAAAAATTATCGGACACCTGGAGGCCGTAAACTGGCTTTTGTGGCCCAGGGAAAACAGGCCTAGCCCTGGATATTTGTCGTTGGGCGATTGGACAAAGGACCCATACATATGGCTACACTATGTCGAAAGTTCCGATGGAGTATTACGCGAAGATCCAGTGTTAATGTGAGTTTTGGGACAATGGGAAAAATATAACATTTAATGGTTTTAGTGTGGTTTTAGTCAAAATGAGGAAAGCCCGTTTTCAGCCGTACACCCCTGTTCCAGATATTAGGGAAGGCTCTTTTAAGGATGTAATAGAAAACCAGCCACCCTAGTATGAGCACCGAAATATGATATATCGCTCGGTTTTATCACGCTCAAATGTCAAATTACTGTGGAATTTGACAGTTATGCGCGATAAAAAACGTGATATAATGTTTATTGCGATGCTCATGATAGGGGCGGGCTGTTATAGGTAGCGGTAAACTTTTTGAGCAAAACCACAGTCAAACTTGTGCAGTAGACGTTTTGGTATGTAAAATTGTTACGGCGCAGGGTCTCTTGTCTATGGTTGTTGCTCAAGAAGTTTGCCTTGGTGTATACCCACCACGCTAGCCCGATGCGGATTGTTGAGTGCTAACGACTGAAACCGGGACCAACAGTGTACATAACGTGCCTTCCAAAGCACAGAGGAGTTCAAGAACACCCATCCTATGACTGACCACTGCAAAACTTACTTAAGCTCGACAATCGCAGACCGAACGCGCTAACCACTACCTGCGCCATTGGGCTTCTCAAGTTTCCTAAGCAGATAATAAAAGAATATCAAGGGACAGGGCGGCTAAGATAAATTTAATAATTAACAGATATGCTTAAATAGAAACCAACCTCAGGAACAAATGTTTGTGCATATAGCATAAGGTCCTATCCGGATTCGAATTAGGTGCTCGAATTAAGCAGAAGAATATTATGATAGATGCCTTTGCCCCAGCCTTATTAAAATTATATACAAAATGATTTGGGACTAAATCTGAATCCAAGAAATATAATTATAGGTACTGTAGCAGTTATGAAGGGATAGGCCTGGGAGGTATGCTCAGATAGTAAACAACTAATTAGATTTAAATTTTTTATTTATTAGAATTGTTAGAGCGACAAATTGCTAGGAGTTTATATTTGCGTGTAATCTCATTGCTGTTATTCGTATGGTTTGTGGTTGTCAGAATTATTTGAATATACTGACTGACATGCACTTCAAGTTTTGGTTGTTACTTGCTTAGATACGTTGTTTGTACTCATGTGTTCTATTTTGTTTGTAAATATATATTAAGTCAATATTAGCTGGCATTCTTTATTTATTATATATGATCGAGGTTATCTAGTCCTCGATCAGGTTATGGGCCGCATATGATAAATATAAGAAGACTTAAAATATGGCTACACAAGGAAATAGTATGAAGGTAAATTCGAGCAGCGATGGATCGGAGAGATCTCAGCCTTCACACGACACAGGTATGAGCATAGAGAAACTCGATGGAAATTCGAATTATAGTACTTGGAAATTTTTGGTAGAATTATATCTAATTCACGATGATTTATGGGAGTACACACAAACAACGCCAGATAAAACTGATGTAGTAGGCTGTAGGAAAGACCAAAAAGCGAGAGCAAAAATATGCTTGATGGTAAAGCCCCACTGTCTGATTCACGTTCGAAACGCTAAGACAGCTAAAGAAGCGTGGGACGCTTTGAGATCGGCTTTTGAAGATAAGGGTCTTAACAACCGTTGCAGACTTTTGACCAAGTTAGTTAGCCTAAAACTTGAACAATTTACATCAGTTAGGAGTTATGTAACAGAAATAATGTTAGTAGCGCAGCAATTACGGGACATCGGTAAAGAAGTTGACGATGAGATGCTAGCTGCTCTCATGTTACAAGGTTTGACCGAAACTTTTCAACCAATGAGGCTTGCGATTGAAAACTCAGGAGTAGAGTTGACCACAGATTACATAAAAACCAAATTACTTCAAATGGAAGATTCGTATAACACTAGTAGTTCAAGCAGTAATGATATAGCATTGCGTGTTGATACACATAACAAGACTAGGAGATTTCCATACAAGAAGTCACAGAAGATAAAATGCTTTATTTGTAATGGACCACATAAAGCGAGAGATTGTCCAGAGAACTCAAAAAATAAGAAGGCTTCGTTAGCATTGGGACTTGCAACTTCAGGAAAACCAGACGAGTGGATTTTAGATTCTGGGGCATCAAGCCATATGACTAACAGCAAAGAGTATTTAATGGACGTTAGAATGTATGACAAAAAAGTGGAAATCGGATGTGCGAATGGTAGTAAAGTATATGGTATTGGAGAAGGTTCTGTGGTATGTAAGGAGAATGTTGCAGGCGTAAGTGAAGTGATGTATGTACCACACTTAGCAACTAACTTGTTGAGCGTGAGTGCTATTGTAAAGAAGAATGTAGTTGTTGTATTTTCAGCGAAAGGCTATGAACTGTTGAAAGCGGATGGATGTAAGGTTACTGGTGATGTCTTATATACAGGTGTGGAGGATAATGGTGTTTATAAACTTAAGCTCTGTTCACAGGAGAAAGCACTAGCCTCGACTGTCAGTACCATAGACATAGAGTTGTGGCATAGACGTATGGGACATCTTGGTGTACGGAACCTTAAGCTGCTGAGAGACAAATTGGCTACAGGGGTAAGTTTTACTAATAATCCAGTTAACTTACAGTGTAGAGCTTGTTTGATGGGAAAGCAGACCAAACAACCGTTTAAAAAGGGTTTAGCAAACAGAGCTGATGATATTTTAGGTTTGGTTCATACTGATGTATGTGGACCAATGAGTAAAGACTCAATGTCGGGCTGTAAATATTTTCTAACGTTTATTGATGATTTTACAAGAAAAACTTTTGTATATTTTATCAAAAACAAAAGTGAAGTCTTTCAAAAATTTTTAGATTTCAAGACATTTGCTGAGAACCAGTCTGGAAAGAAATTAAAAATTCTTCGATCGGATAATGGCAAGGAGTATGTCAATGAGCAGATGAAGAAATTTTTGAAGCAGTGTGGTATACAACAGCAATTAACGGTTGAGTATACACCCGAGCAGAATGGAGTTGCAGAACGTGCAAACCGCACAATAACAGAAAAAGCTAGAAGTATGCTTCAGAAAGCAGAGCTAGATGAAAAGTTCTGGGCAGAGGCGGTGAACTACGCTGTGTATTTAAAGAATAGATCACCGACCATTGCAGTTAAAGGTAAAACGCCAGAGGAAGCGTGGACTGGAAGGAAGCAAGACTTAAGCATGCTACGAATTTTCGGATGCAAAGCGTTTATTCACGTACCAAAAGTAAAACGGACGAAATGGGACGCTAAATCTAAAGAAATGATTCATGTAGGCATCTGTGAAGAATCGAAAGGCTACCGCTTAATAGACCCAATAACTAATCATTTAAGCAAGGCCAGAGATGTTGTGTTTTTCGAGAACGAGAATATAAACTGTAAGCAAACAGTTGAAAGAGTTGAGAAGTCAGCACCGCTTAGTTTTAAGGATAACGTCACAGAATATGAAGATCACATAGAAGTTCAAGATTTTCAAAGAGATCAAATTGAATCGGAAAATGAACCTGTAAATATTGTAAGTAGTAATGATGATGATATTCTGCATGAGAATTTAGAAACAGAAACAAATGAAGAGAGTTCTGTTACAAGAAGATATCCTTTAAGAGATAGAAAGAAGAAAGCGATACCTGACTGCATTACATATCACACAATAGCTGATTGTGATGATCCGCAGAGTGTGGATGAGGCATTGTCTAGAAGAGACAAACACTTATGGAAAGCTGCGATCGACGAGGAGCTTAATGCACTCAAGAAAAATAAAACATGGAAATTGACGTTACCTCCAGAATCTTGCAACGTCGTTGATTCTAAATGGATATTTAAAATCAAAGAAGAGGCAGGGGGAAATAAGAGATACAAAGCACGCCTAGTTGCAAGAGGTTTCAGCCAGAGGCATGGAATAGATTATTTTGAGACATTTTCTCCAGTTATTAGACATAGCTCTTTGAGGACATTGATTGCATTGGCAGCTCATATGAATCTTAATATAGACCACATGGACGTGAAAACCGCATTCTTGAATGGTAACTTGGACGAGGTGGTTTATATGAAGCAACCAGAGGGTTTCGTTGAAAAGGGAAAGGAGAATTATGTGTGCCAGTTGCAAAGATCATTGTACGGACTTAAACAAGCTCCCAGAGCATGGAATAAAAAACTTCATTTGGAATTGCTGAAACTTAAATTCAAGAGGTCTGAGTATGAACCATGCGTTTATATTAGATCTACAGGAGATAAAGTAATTATTCTTGCCATATATGTAGATGACATTTTATTGTTCTGGAATAATGTTGAGGAATTAAGGAAGGTTAAAACCGATCTCACAAACAAATTTGAGATGAAGGACCTTGGCACAGCGAAGTTGATGTTGGGAATACGAATAGCACAAGATAGTGAAGGGATCAAACTGGATCAGAAGGGATACATAGAGAAGGTTATTCGTACATTTGGAATGGAGAACTGTAAACCAGTTGCTACTCCAGCAGTACCAGGACAAAGGCTAGAGAGGCCACAGCTTGATCAAGAACTTGATGAAAAAGTACCGTATCGCGCATTGATTGGTTCACTGATGTACCTTGCTGTTTGTACGCGCCCTGACATAGCACACACAGTAAGTCAGCTCAGTCAGTTTAACAACAGCTACGGAGACGAGCATTGGATAGCTGCAAAGAGAGTGCTCCGCTATTTGATGGGAACCAAGGATCTAGCATTATTCTATAGAAGGGGAAACCAAAATGAGTTTGTATTAGGTTATGCTGATGCAGATCACGCCGGAGACTTTGATAGAAGATCAAATTCAGGTTGGGTATTTTTATCTCAAGGAGGAGCTATTTCTTGGGAGAGCAAGAAACAACGTACAGTGGCAATATCGTCTGCAGAAGCTGAGTATGTAGCGTTATCAGAGGCTGCAAAAGAGGCAATTTTCATTCGCAGGTTTATTGCAGAATTAAGAGATGGACCCAATCCCGCAATCTCAATTTTCACTGATAGTCAGTCGGCTATGGCAATTGCTAAGAATCCTGTACATCACCAGCGTACGAAGCATGTGGATGTAAGATATCACTTTGTACGTGAGGCGATTGAGAATGGTGACATTCATTTGAGGTACAAGGAAACTAATAGAATGACAGCTGATGTTTTGACAAAGTGTTTGTTGAGAGGTAAATTTGAATGGTGTGTGAAAAGCATGGGTTTGAGTTGTGTGTGAATAAGATGGCTGTTTATATGGTAGGTACACTAACAGGCATGAGATTAAGGAGGAGTGTTAGAGCGACAAATTGCTAGGAGTTTATATTTGCGTGTAATCTCATTGCTGTTATTCGTATGGTTTGTGGTTGTCAGAATTATTTGAATATACTGACTGACATGCACTTCAAGTTTTGGTTGTTACTTGCTTAGATACGTTGTTTGTACTCATGTGTTCTATTTTGTTTGTAAATATATATTAAGTCAATATTAGCTGGCATTCTTTATTTATTATATATGATCGAGGTTATCTAGTCCTCGATCAAGAATTCATGGCGAACATAATAATTATAGCTTAATCGATAACCGTTTGTTTTGGTACCTGAATTCTATCTGCTGGAATCTTCTATCAAAAGCCAGAAGATTCCCAATTTCAAATCTTCAAAATAATGACATTAACTTTTTAATATAACTGCCAGCCGTAGGCATTACATGAACAAAGAGTTACAGTACCTATTAAGCTACTACTAAAAGAATACCAACCTATCATAGGTCCATTATTCTACGAACTGTTATGTGTGTTTTAATTTTCAATTGGAGCTTAATGATAAAGTAATATCACAGGAGCACCGATACGCGCTACTGGTCTATACACGACGTGCAACGATACTTTGTCGGGGATTTGCACTGTGAAAAAGTTTTATTCACAATTCAATACCCCAACCTACGGATGCCTACGCGGCAAGGGAGCTATTTCTGGAAAGCCAACACCGCTCTGAAACTACCACCCAAGTTATATCAGAAAGAACTGAATCTGACACTGGAAATCACTTTGAAGGTTTGAAGCCCAATTGGTCTTTGTGGCTAAAGTCAAGTTCAAAAACGTTTTTTCTCGTGGTACTATCAATTTGTACCATTGATGGCACTAGTGCCATCCTTGGCTCTCAGTCACTTTCACAAATATTTTTAAGGGATTAAGCTTAAAATTTATTTTATTTATACCGCGAAATTTTTGCTCATTTCACTTGACACACATTTTTTAATATCTCTCCGTCTTTATCGTTTGTTTAAAGTACAGATAGAATAATAAAAAGGGATCATCTGCTTAAACCTCAAAGATCCCTTTTTAAAGTTCCATACCCAAAGGGTAAAAAAGGAACCCTATTGCTGCCGGAACCCTATTGCTGCCATTCGTAAACGGAATGAGTTACAGAACTGAAATTTTGATGATGTAGAATGCTTGCCAAAAGCTGAACATTTATTTGAAAATTAAATTATTTTTATTATTTACCCCAGCATCATCATTGTCTAGAACTTGTTGAGTAGGACATATTTTTTTTTCTTCAATAACATAGAAGTTGGTCAATGTTGTAAGTTTAAACCATTTTTGTTACGGGGTCAATTTATGAGTTTTTTTTTGTTATTGGTAATTTTGTATCATTTGACAGTTGCAACTTTTGAAAACCAAATGCTAGGATTTGGAGAACAAGAAAAACATCGATATTTTTTTACAGTTTTATTTTACAGAAAATGGAAAGAGAGCAATGCCAAATGAACAAAATCATTGTTTCCGATCAGTTAATCAACATCAACCGATTCGACTACTTCAAAAGGAAAACTTTCTTCAGAATTTTAGGAAACATCTTAAGGTTTGTCTATACAATTACTTACTTCGTTAATGTGATTTATAGGGATTGTCTTGCTTGTATCAGAAAAAATATAGTGCTTAGCTAGATTCACTGTTCAGTGGCTTTATATCCGAAAAAATATTCCCATGTAAAATTTTACTCCTATTAAATATTTCCAACACTCACATCAATTAGCCTAGCCCCAAAATAAGCACTGTGTTATGGGATGCTAGCGTAACGGATAGAATACATATACTGTACATATATAAGTATATTTATATAGAAAAACATATTAAACATCCATGACTGGAGTACAAATGATCGTATTGATCACACAAACATCTGCCCCCACCGGGACTTGAACCCGGGACCTCTCGAGTCGGCGAGACCCTGAAACCCGGCGTACAAACCACTCGGCAACGGAGGTCGTCGAGGTATTTATTTATTTAGTCTTCACGCACACCACTCATTCAAAAAAAGTATTAAAAAACGCATTTTAAATCCGTTAAAAAAAGCAGTTTATTTGATAAATAGATATAGGTAAAAAAACTAACAGAACAATATAATTAGAATTATTTTTTTTATTAACTTTCTGATGATCTATTCCACTATGATCACCTGGGTGATCCTTTGATCACCCGGGAATATAATTACCTCCCGTTCATAGGCGACCCCAAAAAAAAATTTGATATTCTCAAATCACCTTCGAATAAATTTAACAAACACAATTTGTTAAATTTAGAAAAATTAAATACACGCGTTTGAAACACACCCAATACTCTTTGAAAGAAGAACCAAAAAAGTTCGAATTTTGGCTAATAGATCACCACAATGGTATAATAAAAATGTTTAATTTAGTTTCCAGGACAACTTGCAACTTGTCTCGTTCGAAAACCTGTGCTGCAAGCGGCTAGAAGGAGTCCATCTTATCCAGCAACTGGCCTGCTTCAACTCTCGTACTCTTAAATACCTATTCCTCTGGCGCTTCGTATTGCCCAACGAAAATCCCATTCTTGTTAATTACAGCTACATCACAGGTAAGGGCGCTTTCCTCTTATATGAAATATTTATATTTACTATCAGCAAAGAACAAGTAGTGAAGTCGCAAAAATAAGGTCACCGCAAAACGATTTAATATAATTTACGATAACTAAAAAGTCATGATCTTACTCATGTCAATCAAATGCAAAGTAAGGCAAAGCGTTAATTTAAATTCAAAGTTGATTCACTGCTCTAGTTCTGCCTGTCATAATATGAGAGAAAGGATACAACGGATTTAACTTTCGTATACTTCAACTAAAATTATCGCAACTACTTTACCCTTCTAGGTATGGACAGACGTACTCAAAAAATAGCATGCTCATAAGCTTGCTTAAAATTAGCATTCATAAATAAGCGTGCTCAAAGGAAACGTACGGACAGACGTACTATTTGGCACCAGACTTTCGGCCAAAACAAAGATAATTACGTGACAGTGCAATCCTTACTGAACTCAATAAAATAAACATATTGCTTGCAACGGAGTTGAGTAAAAACATTTTGGTGAAAAGGAAAATAACTAAAAAAGGAGGATTTGGGTTCAAAATTGACACAGCAACTGACAGAGATCGAGATCGAATTGATAATAGCATGCTCATAAGCAAACCTGTTCACAACACGGGCTCAGAGCACGCCTCTTCCTACCCGCGCCTCAGAGAGCATACTTGAAAATGAAAAGTCGTTGATTTTTAGGCACGCTCTAACTAAACATGCTCATTACTAGTCATGTTATTACACACGCGCTACTAAAGATCACTTGCTCAATAAAAGCATGCTTCCATGCAAGTAATGAGCACGTCTGTGCGTACCTTTTCTGTATTCACAAAAGGCCTTTGTGGTTAATTAATCAGAAACATCGACAAAAATTTCGGTACAAAAACATTTTCACAAAATGTCAAATATGACAAACCACTAAAAGTCAAAATATTTTGTATCCAAATCCTAAAAGTAAAAAGACAAAATAGTAAACTTTTATAACACAAATATGATTAACTGCTTACCATTTCTAATACTGTGTCCAAGTTTCAAATTGTTTTGTATTATGATACCCTGTGCCACGCTGCTCGGTATGGCAGGAGTGTGGTTCACAGGAACTTTCAAGTATCTAACGGACGCTGCTTACGTTAAAGTTAATACTCTAGTGAATTCTACTTCTCTATAAAAGCAAGCATTTCATAATTACGAAGAAGGTAAGTAAAAAAGTCAATTTAAAGCACGCGCACATCGTCATAGTAACGCCACAACATTGAAGTGCCATAGTAACGGGTTTGATTTTGTAAGTAACAAAATGTCAACACAAGAAGACAAAACAAAGCTTGCTAAACTCCTCCAGGGAATAGAGATACCAGAAGTCAAACTTACGGAACGATGTTCAGACTTGGTTAAAGACTTTCAACAGAAATATGGTCATGAAATTGAATCTGAAGAACAAGTGACGAAGTATGAGGAGCAGCCGGAGAGAGATAATCCTTACAAGGTTGATAGGGCAGTGCTTGAAGATATTGATAAAAAATTACAATTGCTCTTGGAAGGCAAAAGGTGTCTATCAAATAGTGAATGAGTAACTGTAAAAAACAAACTGTCAACTCAAGGTTTAGTAAATACAATACATAGTTGTACTATTACCTCCACATTATGATTTTTTGTTTCCAGAGCCAAAAAAGAATCGTCTGAAAGCAGCAGCATCCTTTCTGTTAGTGATCCCAAAAGACCGTGGAGAGTCAACTCTTCCAAAGAAAAGTTATTACGAATAGAAAATGAGATAAAACGTCATCATGAGAAAGACAATGATCTGATTGCTCCATTAGGTGATAGGGAAATGAAAGATTTGGTAAACGAATGCAGGACAGAGACTAGTAACGCTCGTCCTGTGCCTACCGACAGACTCCGGAATACAGTCGATGAGGCGAAGAAGAATCTACCCAATTTCCAGTATCGAAAAGTAGATAATTCCACCGCAACTGCCATTTTACCTGAAGCTCACATCGAAAAGAACATCGCCCCTCAACATCAAATTCAAAACAATCTTTAATTTATTATTTTGTTCTTTAAAGCATACAAATGCTTAGTTCAGTCAGTAGTTGTCCTTTATGTAATAAATAGTACCATTTATCGTCTTTTTTTTATTTCAATGTAAAATACTATTACACGTTCTTAAGTGAACTTTTATTAAATGATTTTACGTTATTAAACAATCATCATCATCATCAACAGCCTATTAATGCCCCTACTGCTGGGGCACAAACGGCTTAACGTGCCCTCCAAAGCATGGAGGATCACGAAATGATAAATTTTTGGTGACCCATCCAATGACCGACCACTGCGAAAGTTCGTCACTTGAGCCATCGAGCTTCTCAAATAATCAGTAACCTTTTAACAGATCTTAGCCACCAAAGAGCACTCCTAAGCCCCTTCGTACACAACGCTACGCATACCTGATGACTTTGGTCTCCAAGAGACTTTCGCAATACAAAACAAAAAAGTCGGCAACGCGACCTTGTTAAGAACTTCTATGAATTTGTATTGCGGTACCTAGTCGCTTAGAGACCAAGGTCGTCGTTGTGTACGAAGGGACTGACATCTCAAAGGCTTAAACTGATTATATTCCCTCGTTTTGTATACGCTTGGCGATGAAAACCGATAAAACTTACGGTTACGTATTTTCCAGGAATTTCTATGTCGTAAGTTTCTAAGTCTAAGCGGATTCAATACTAGTTTTATATGCTTAACACTATATCATTATAAATATTATTATTACCTATCTGACTACCCAGGTAGTGGTCTATACATCCCTAGGCCTCCCACTAAACAGTGTTTTCTGCGAAGTTTGGGCGAACTAAGGCACTTGCGACTCTTGGCATTGGAGTATTGTTACATCGCCGACGGAACGGGCGGCGCTCTTATTGCACTGCTGCCGGTTATAAAAAGACCACACTTTCGGCTTCAGGTTTGTATATCAAGTAATAGTAAAAAAAAAAATTGTTAAAACTGGTGGGAAACTTCGTATGGGCCGCCTGATAGCAAGCAGCCACCATAGCATATAGACGCATGCGAAAATTTTTAAGACTAAACTGAAGATATTTTTATTTCACTTTTCAGTTTTAGTTGTTATAATTATTTTTTCAATTTAATTTTTTTAAACCTGTTAGGTATGTTGTACTATTATTGAAATGACTAGCAAACCAGTGATCTACAGTGCTACTTTACTCACATCCGGTTTGTAGTCTTATCAGACTATTCTTAACTTATAACTTAAACATTCTCTATATCTATCTCTTACGGTTTGGCCGCTGAAACAGCACCACGGACGGACGGACGGACTTGTCTATTAGATAAGAGACTAGCAAACCTGTGAACCAAATAATCACCAAAAAAAATGTATTTAATTAATTGAGAACTTCGGAGATTTTGTGTGGTTTCGTTTGAAATAGAAATCACGTGATTTCTCGAAAACCGAAAGTGCTACGTTACTCACATCCGGTTTGTAGTCTTATCAGACTATTCTTAACTTATAACTTAAACATTCTCTATATCTATCTCTTACGGTTTGGCCGCTGAAACAGCACCACGGACGGTCGGACGGACTTGTCTATTAGATAAGAGGTAGTAAATGTTGATTGGAAGGTATTATAATACTTAATAAATGTTGATTTCGTATTTCAGGTAGATTTATTTTATTTGATACGACCATTATTGGGTATTAGAATAATAATTATTGAGTTCCTACTAATTCTGGGAGTAACAGGATTGTTTATTAGTCAGAATTCAATTAAGCTATAATTGTAAATGGTTTTTAATACAAAAAAAAATACATACCTATATGGGTTTTTACGATAGTAAATGTGATCATAAGCTTACCAAAAAATGGATTTACGACGTCGAATTTAAACTATGTTTAGGTAAGCTACTAAACACGTTAGGGCGTAAAAACCATTTACAATTAACGACTATTGTAACGCTCTGAGTTAATATAAATCATGGTCATTAGAGTCATAACATCATAACAAAACTACAAAAAAAGAACATTCGGCTTTTACATTGAAAAGGACATTGTTCTGCGTCCATACATAGTTAGCCTAAGAACCAACAATCATGAAATATTATTTTCTAGACTCGAAATCGCAAGTAAATGACTGTAAAAACAAAGATTATTGACGGACACTTCTGAAAACTTAAATTATTAGGAAAACTAAAATTTTTTTGAGGTTATGTTTAATATTCACTGAAACATAGGTCAACCTATGAACTTAGTATGAACTCAGTATGAAGTAAATTAATATTACAACTAATTCATTTTATTCGGTGCGATTTGAAAGAACAACAACAAGATTTTTAATAAATATTTTATGGGCACCCTAATTATACGATCCGGCCAAATGTGGATGACCAAATCGTTAAATGTTGACGATTTAATGATCTGGTCAAATTAAGTTGGCCACATCATGAAATGTGACCATTTCATGAAATTCTCGAGCATTTCATGAAGTGATCAAATCTACGATATGGCCACGACATAATACAGATCGGCAGAGAAAAAAAAACTGAGAAAAGTGGTATATATGTATATATATATGTATAACTAAATTTAGCCAAAATGGTTTATACGACCTTTCTACCCAAAGGTATCCTCATAAAGGAGGGGTAATCAGCAGGTGACTTAAATATTGGAAATTTATTACTGAAATTAATTATTTGTATAATTTTGAGGAGGAGCTCGATGGCGCAAGTTTAGTTTAGGTTAGCGCTTAAGGCTGCGATCGTTGAAGTTAAGCATCTTTCGCAGTGGTCGGTCATTGGGTGGGTGACCAAAAATTTAATATGCTCCTCCTCCGTGCTATTCTGTTATACCTTTGGTACCGGCTATATCTGCAGTCGTTAGCACCCACCACAAAACACAGAAAGATCATATACAGAGATCATATACCGTTTGTACGGGAATCGATGTCGCCGGCTCGCCCCCACTACACTTCCACCTAATAGATAATAGCCAATCAAACGACGCGACATCCAACAATCAAACAAATCAGCGCTTACACCCGAGCGCAGCAACGCAATCAGAACCAAGTTTTGGTAAAGTTACGCGCATTTGCTCACATATAACTGTGGCGCGCCTGTCCCGCCCACAAGACCCTTCTAACCTCTTTCTTTGTTCTGTGGCACCCACCAATCCGTACTGGGCCCGCGTGGTGGGTCATGGCTCATTCTCCTTATTCCATCCGTAGGGAAGGCCTGTGCCCCAGCAGTGTGGACATTAAAAAGGCTTGTGATGATGATGATGATAATTTTCAGTTGATTTGCCGCGAAGAGCAAACTCCTGGACGAGCTGATGCTGCTCTTGGAGTTGGTGGGTACGACATCCCTGACACAGCCTGGCGGAGGGTCAGCATCGCGTGCCCTGATCTCTACCTGATGATGGCATTCTGTCAGTTTACAAAACACAAGAAAATAATTCCTATTATTCATTATTTTTATTAAAATTACAGTAAATAGAGGCAGGGAATAGCGGATTTACCGCTCGAATTGGAGCACCTGTCGGGGGAAGTTACCGCCACCTTTCAGAAGATCACAGCAAAATAAACTTCCTTTTGGTGGTGTTGTGTTTCTGTCGGTAAGGTTCCAGGGCTCCATGGGGGTAGAGAATTGGGTCAAGGCGACGGCGCGAGTGATATTTTTGTGTCACAAGCACAAGCTATGGCAATAGTGGCCACTTGCTATCAGGCGAGCTATATTATGCCTGTTTGCCCAACTTTCAACGTAGAAAAATAGCTAGTACGAAAATTTAATAATAATAAGTAGCAACAGAAAAATATTATAATGCAACCAGAATGCATTGAATGTTTAATAATCCTTTACTATTACAATCCTTAGAAAGAGAAGTGGGTATCCTCTTTTTACAGTTCGAATACGAGACTATAACAACATACGACGGTTTCTGTCGCCAAGTTTACCACTCAGGGAAGTCCATCTACAACTCGGTATAGATTTAAAAACGAGGCAAAGGGAAGATTCGGACTTGACATGCTTCTTTCAGCATATGGCATTCCACTTTGGAAATAATTTGGGTGAGAGAATTAACAGAAAAACCTTTTTTTGTATCTATTCCGTGATTTAATTATATTATTCCGATATCACTATCATTTTGTGAACCTCATTGGCGGAAGCGTTTGAATTTAGATGAGACAGTCTCATATGGCTCTACAGATGACATGACAGCAAATTGTGTACAGACTGTTCATCCTAACTTGTCCTATTTGGAAAACAATCTTGGCACAACTTTTTTACAAAATCACGCATTTAAAAATAAAATATTAACGAAGTCAATAAACTATTAAAATAAATCGTTATTGTAGACTGAACCCTATTCAATCTTGTTATCAGTTGATTTTTGATGCTGTATTTTCAAAAAAAAAAGAAGTGCCAAGATTGTTTACCAAATAGGACAAGTTAGGATGAACAGACTGTAGTATCTAATAACAGAACTTTTATTTTTTTAAACAGATTGTCCGTTTGCTATGATTAATTGCTAATAAATTAAAAAAAATAATAGAGAAGGACATTCTTTTGTGCATGCATGCATGTCCTTTGTAAAAAAAATATAGTAGACGAAACTACTGCATACAAGACTTTATTTACACGCTACATCCATGAATGAATCCTCTTTCAAAAGTTCCGAAACCATGGGGCGTTCTTAAAATACCTCTGTGAAGTTAGCCCCCCACTTTTTGAATTTTATTATTATCTAGGTTGTTCTGGGTTGTTCTATGTTTGTTCTACATTGTTCCAAAGTATTATTTGAAAAAACTAAAATTTGAAGCTGCCAGACAAGAAAAATCGTTTTTCTATGGTAGTCCCCCATGTTTGGAAATTCAATATTTTTTTAGTTGTTCCAAGTTGTTCTAGTTGTTCCGAACATTGTTTCAAAGTATTATTTGAAAAAACTCAAATTTGGAGCTGCCAGACAAAAAAATCTTTTTTATGGTAGACCCCATGTTTTGAAATTCAATACTTTTTTAGTTGTTCCAAGTTGTTTTAGTTGTTCCTAACATTGTTCCAAAGTATTATTTGAAAAAACTCAAATTTGAAGCTGTCAGGCAAAAAAAACCTTTTGAGATAGCCCCCCATGTTTGGAAATTCATTATTTTTTTAGTTGTTCCAAGTTGTTCAACATTGTTCCAAAGTATTATTTGAAAAAACTCAAATTTCATGTTGTCGGGAAAAATAATCTTTTATTTATGAAATAAAATCAATCGTACCTATCAGAGACAATAAATAAATCATAAATTTATTTAAACAATGACGATTGTACAACAACTGTACCACCGTGGGCTATATCGTTCCAATTTCATTTAATCATTTTGAATTAAATTAATAGAAAAGAAAACATTAGAATATAGGGTAAACTCCCTAATTGTTGGCACTTTAAGAGTAGGTAGCATGTCAGACATTAAATTACCATAAAATCACATCTAAATGAGTTAGTACACAACACATGTTACACATGTAACAGTATCAAAGAAAGTAGTTTAATCTTTGTTTTCATAATGGTATAGTCAATGAAGGCAAAAATCAGCTGCAACCTCCGATTTCGTTGAACCTCCATCGATTTTCATGAAAATTGGTAAGTAGGTGGGGGATACCATAAGAAACAAAAGTGACATAGTGCCAACTTGCGCTTTTGCCCTGAGGGTAGATACCACCCCTTCTCGGGGGTGAAAATTATTTTAATAAAAATAACTCCAGAAATCGATAGAAAAACAAATTCTAAGTAAAATTTGTTATATTAAGTTTTCGGAATAAATCAATACTTTCTGAGTTATTAAAGATCAAATATTGTGATTTTGCGTGATAAAAATACATGTTTAAGCGGTTTTTCATATATAATTCAAAAACTATGAGCTTTACAAAAAAAATATTAGTACCAAAATTCAAGTTAATAAAAAAACAAACAAACGCCTACTTTAAAAAACCTTCTAATTTCAATTCAAAGTGAGCTATAGGTAATTGTATGTACATTTTTTTTTCGGCAAGTACTTAAATCTAAGTATTCAAACCTAAATAACGGGAAACCGATGAATTTATGACATACACTTCCGGAGCACTTTTTAAATTCCTCAGAAATACTTTTATAATGAGCACTGTAAAAAGTTAATAGCTTCAAAATTGAAAAAGTTATGATAAAAATAAGATAACACTTAATTTTTTTAGGAAAAACGAAAAATAAACCCTTCATTCCAACCATTCATCAAAATGCATCGGTTTCCCGTTATTTAGGGTTGGAAACTTAGATTTAAGTACTCGTCGAAAAGAATATACATACAATTACCTATAGCTCACTTTGAATTCATATAAGAAGGTTTTTCAAAGAAGGGGTTTGTTTTTTTTATTAGCTTCAATTTTGGTAATAATTAGACTTGCAACGAATAGTATATTCGGCAGTATACCGAATATTCGGCGAGGCCCCTGACCGAATAGCTGAATATTAGGCAAAAGTATTCGGCTGGATTTTAGCGCCAAAAACTTGTACAAACGTGATTGTTTCGCGCCCCTTTGTTTGCGAATAGCTGAATATTAGGCAAAAGTATTCGGCTGAATTTTTGGATTCAGTCAAACGCAGTTTCAACAGAAATGGATCTTTTCTTAAATATTAGTAATATATCACGTCATGACAACCCATATACATGGTGGCAGCAAGGAAAATTGAATTTCCGTGTTTGATTAAGATTGCAGCAAAATATTTGTCGGCGCCAGGAAGTAGTGTTTATTCAGAGCGCCTTTACTCTGAAGCTGGGATAGTGTACGAGAAAAAAAGAATTTCTACTACTTCCTAAAAATGCAGAAAATTTAGTCTTTCTGCACCATAACCTTCCCCTTCTAAATTTTGATTATGAAAATAATTCAAATGCATAGAAAAATCCTTAACTTGTTTAATACAGAAAATGATTAAATTATGTACCTGTTTTATGTACCAATGACTACTTAATAAATGATTATAAAATAAATGAGAACCTTACCTTTTTAAATTTTGATTACCACAATAATTCAAATACATAGAATCCTCCATTTTTCCAATTCAGAAGATGATTATGTACCAATGACTACTTTAATGATTATATATAACAGAAATGAAAATATGAATATATACCTACATAATCAATCGAAATTAATTTTCATTGTACCAATTATTTCTCTATGACAAAATATATTATTAGAATACTTAAATAATATATCTGTCGGCGCCGGGAAGGAATTGGGACAATGTTAGGAACAACTAGAACAACTTGGAACAACTTTCAAATAACGAATTTCCAAACATGGGGGGCTATCTCAAAAACGGTTTTTTTTGCCTGACAGCTTCAAATTTGAGTTTTTTCAAATAATACTTTGGAACAATGTTAGGAACAACTAGAAGAACTTGGAACAACTAAAAAAGTATTGAATTTCAAAACATGGGGGGCTACCATAAGAACGTTTTTTTGTCTGGCAGCTTCAAATTTGAATATTTTCAAATAATACTTTGGAACAATGTTCGGAACAACTAGAACAACTTGGAACAACTAAAAAAATATTGAATTTCCAAACATGGGGGGCTACCATAAAAACGTTTTTTTTGTCTGACAGCTTCAAATTTGAATATTTTCAAATAATACTTTGGAACAATGTTCGGAACAACTGGAACAACTTGGAACAACTAAAAAAGTATTGAATTTCCAAACATGGGGGGCTACCATAGAAAAACGGTTTTTCTTGTCTGGCAGCTTCAAATTTTAGTTTTTTCAAATAATACTTTGGAACAATGTAGAACAAACATAGAACAACCCAGAACAATCTAGATAATAATAAAATTCAAAAAGTGGGGGGCTAACTTCACAGAGGTTCTTAAAATTCATGAAAAGTTTCGGTGCTGTGGTAGTGGAGAACGCATTCATGAATGCGAATGTTCTTTTTTTATTTATACAGATACCTGCATCGAGTAGGTAGTAAGAATTGGTAAGAATGTGGCTGTCTGATGAAGTGATGAGTATTTCCTTTGCGCGGAAGGGATCGATAAAGTGAAGGAGTGATAATTAATTTTGAATATTTTGTCATGTGTTTGGATGATAAAGGCAATAAGCTGTTTTAGAATCTTCATATAGACGATTTATACCATGCAGTGCATGCAGCAGTGTTATTACGGTTACGTGGACATTGGTTGTTTTTTCATGTTGGCAATCCAGGAAAGTTTCTGACACAGTTGGCTTAACTGTTGCAGATTTTTTTATTGAGGATTTAAAGCATCAATTTAGATAAAACTACATTATCACTAATTATTACGCTTATTACACTACCCTGAGTCAGTTTATCGCGCCCAATATTCAATAGTCCATAATACGACTATTAAAAGGCACAGGTTGTTTGTTTCTAGCCTTTAATATAACCTTTATTCTCAGTCGCCCCCGCGTAGGGTCACCATCCATCCGGACATGTCCGGACTTTTAGGCTGTAGTCCGGATCTTTATAATGTCCGGATTTTTGAAATTACATTAAATATTAATAATAGAATTACACATTGATTTAAAAACAATACCATTGTAACTAAGTGAGGAATGGTACCATTTTGAGACTATAAAGTCCGGACTTTTTTCGAAAAGTCAGGACTTTTGATCCCCGCGGGGATTACCACTGGCAGCAAATAGGAATAATAAAACTAAAGTGGGGGCAATGACTTCGTTCCCATTTGCCCTATGTGGCAATACCCGCGGTAGCGACTGGGAATAAAAAAAATTAAGTGGGGGCAATGACTTCATTCCCACTCATGGCTCCGGTGGCAATCCACGCGGGGACGACTGCGAATAAAGGTAATATATTGTGTAGTTTATACAAAATTTCTTCATCAGGGACTTTGAGCGTGCACCAGTGGCGGTTTACTACATTCCCATTGCGTCGAGTTTTTGAGCTGATGCCGCATCTCGTGCGCTTTATTTACACGGGCTATGTGGAGGACGAGGTCGACCTTAAACGTATGCTCCAGATGGTAGCTTGCGGAGTTTGCGACAGTAAGTGCTAATTATGCTAAGGTATGATCGCAGCGGCACCCGCGCGCGAACATTCGGTTGCGACTGACACGCGCGGCTGATGCGAGAATAGTCAGTATATAAAAATTTACGGCATCGATTCCGAAGTCTGCGACGAACGCGTGCGGCCTCTTACGCATCCTTTAACCACTGGGGCGCGAGAAGAAGGTTAGCCCTTAGGCTCGTTGAAGTGAACAGGGCCCTACCTACACCCTGAACAGGGCCACTAAAAACTAGACAATACTCCTGCACCGGTCACCCGGCGCACATTCTGAGGACCGCACTCCCTTCAATGCGCGTCAGGAGTGCGGGTTATATGCGGTACCCTGTTCAATTGGCCGCGGCGTGCGGCCTACCCTACGACAGACTTGACAGACAATACACTGACCAATTCCAACAGCCGCGCGCGTCAGTCGCACGCGACCGCGATGCACGGAAATCTACCAGCCTGGGGCCCAATTCTCGCGGCATAGATATTATATCACCTTCGATATATATCGAATGATCTGGCTTTTATCGAAGGAAAACCTTTTTGCCCTATTCTCACCATGTCGCAATAGACATTTATCTACGGATGATCAGTAGACATACATCGACTGGTAAAGAGCCTTCGATATATAAATATCTATGGATCTTGGCATGTCAATCTTGTAATTACCACTTTTTTTACCTATTATTTATTGTGTTGTCGCGTGTCTTTGCCAATTATTGTTATCTCAAGATGTTGTTAACTGCCTTCATAAATAATTAGTAAATAAAGAAGTAGGTAAACAATGGTGTCGATTCTGGCGTGATTCTTTAAACTTAAAACTTAATTTATTATCAGTCTCTCTTTTTCATTCTGTATAGAGAATGACAAGGAAACACTGTTGTCAAGTTTAGATTTAGAGAATCGTGCCAGAATCGACACCAGTTTATATTAACGATGGATGAGTTGCTTCATGTTTTCGTCAATGATTTAATAAATGACGTGATTGCTGCTGCTGTGCTAAGGCGCCGCCGTTGTGAGAGCAAGAGGGCCCATTGGAAATGAGGGACGCGGACTTCATAAAAAAATTACGTTTAAACAAAAATTTCGTTAGAAATCCTTAAAGTTATGAATGACATTGGTATCGATTCTGACACGATTCTCTAAACTTAAAACTAAATTTAACATCAGTCTCTCCTTTTCATTCTGTATGGAGAATGACAAGGATACACTGTTGTCAAATTTACGTTTAGGTTTAGAGAATCATGCCAGAATCGACACCATTTTCTTATTGACGATACGGAGTTTTGGCGGGATTTCTGCGAGTGCGGTTGGCATCTTATTTTAATTATTCTAAAATTCGTTCATAGTAGATATTGTGAAATAAAATTGGTGTGATTTGGTGTTACAACCGTCTGCGCAACTAAAGAATTAGTGGAATCTTTAAAATATACGCTATTCCGGTCAAGTGGACGCGAGAACTTTATTGTAGTGTTGACTACCTCACATAAGCTTAGAGAAAAAGCCAACTCCATAAATTTCGTGCCAAACACTCCAAGAAACATTAGAATGCGTCAGACCGACATTCGAATGTAATAAAAAGAAGATTAATATAACTAAAGACTAGGCTTTATGGGCATTGTTCCCTATGCCTTCCATGAAAAGGGAGAATCTTAAATAATATTGACGTTTCATTATACATAACGTTGAAATTATATACGCATACAATTTAGGTAAAGTTGAGATTTCTTATACTCAAAAAATGTATAATCATATTTAATATGAATGGAATTCATAAAATATCATTTTGTTGCTTGTAAAATTCTGCTCTAGTTTATTATTATTTTATATAGACTATGATGTTAACTTAATCGAGAAAAACGGAACGCATTCGACAGTGAAAGAATATCTACGATAGATATAATATCATTGGAATATCGAAAATCCACGAGAATAGCATTTTTTACCATGAGTAGATATTTTCAATAGATATCCCTACTTTCGATATTATCTCGAAGCCGATATAATATCTACGCCGCGAGAATTGGGCCCCTGTTCGGTATAGGATCTTGAAGGTCAAGTATCGAGTACAAGTATTTGGGTTTAGACATTAATCACAATAAATCGTTCAAAAACATTTACCTTTTAATAAACTGTGTTAGCAATAGATCCCTCACAATTTAAATAAACTGAGGCTCAAAAAAACCATTCAAGTGCGAATCGGACTCACGCACGAAGAGCAATAATATTATAAATTTTATAATTATGTTTTCCTGTAAACTACTTACAAGCATACCATTACCAAGTTACATACCATTTTTTTATTTTTGATGCACTAGTTGTGGATTCTATTTATATATTTTCAAACATATATGAAGTGAAACTTCTTTGGGACTTTCTTTCTGACTTGAGGACTGGGTGTAAATGGAAAAATCCTATGGAACAGATGAAACGGAAATGCGTCACGACCGTCGCACAACTATATTGTATATACAGTGATGGTCATGTAATTAAAAACGCTTAATAATACAAAACCAATAATACTATGTTTTGACCACAATATCAGCGGTTCGTTTCTAAACATACTCTGTTAGTGTTGTAGAATATTAATATGTCCGATCTGCATTATTCATGCAATAGTGTCGTCGAAATAATGTACCTACATTCTTATTTGTCTACTTATTAAATCATAGAAACTCATAAAGTTGCCGAAATACTAGCTTGACAAATAATTAAGAATGAAAATATTTTGTTATAATTTTTCATCATTTATTACTATTTGTATTGCATTTTCGCGTTATTATTGTAAGAATATACGTATTCTGCATTATTGAAGTTATACTTCTTTAGGCGCGTTATGAAAAAATGATGAGAGTGAAATTTTTAGATGCGCGCGCATCACTGTAACCCAAAAGTAAAAGCATGAAGTTGGCCGCGGGCGCGTTATGAAAAAATCATGTGAGTGAAATTTCGAGATGCGCGCGCATCACTGTAACACAATAGTAACACCATGAAATTGGCCGCGGGCGCGTTATGAATGTTAGTGTCTAATAATGGTGGATTATTAACCACTTAGTGGTTAAATATATTAATTAGCACTTGCTAATTACATATGGACTAATAACTTAAATTCAGTAGTGATTTTAATTGAATATTTTGAATATTTATTTAATTTTTCAAATTAAAACTGAACTTAATTGACTGTGTTAACTATCCTTTTCCAGTCCTTTTATTATTTTATTGTAATTATTAATTATTTGCATGCAATTAAAAAATATTTTTAATGATGCTAAAGAAGTATAACTTCTCACGCACGTACATAAGTTACACGCATCCATTTTGTTTTATTAAAATAGATAAAAATAAATTTTGCAACTCTACTGCTAGAGGAATAATAATAAACGTGCGTGCTCGTAATTGGTACCCCTGTGAAGTTAGCCCCCCACTTTTTGAATTTTATTATTATCTAGGTTGTTCTGGGTTGTTCTACATTGTTCCAAAGTATTATTTGAAAAAACTAAAATTTGAAGCTGCCAGACAAAAAAAACGTTTTTCTATGGTATCCCCCATGTTTGGAAATTCAATATATTTTTAGTTGTTCCGAACATTGTTCCAAAGTATTATTTGAAAAAACTCAAATTTGAAGCTGCCAGACAAAAAAAACTTTTTTATGGTAGCCCCCCATGTTGGGAAATTCAATATTTTTTTAGTTGTTCCAAGTTGTTCTAGTTGTCCCTAACATTGTTCCAAAGAATTATTTGAAAATATTCAAATTTGAAGCTGCCAGACAAAAAAAAACTTTTTTGTGGTAGCCCCCCATGTTTTGAAATTCAATACTTTTTAGTTGTTCCAAGTTGTTCCTAACATTTTCCGAAGTATTATTTGCAAAAACTCAAATTTGAAGCTGTCAGGCAAAAAAAAACCGTTTTTGAGATAGCCCCCCATGTTTGGAAATTCATTATTTTTTTAGTTGTTCCAAGTTGTTCTATTTGTTCCTAACATTGTTCCAAAGTATTATTTGAAAAAACTCAAATTTGATGTTGTCGGGAAAAAAATCTTTTATTTATGAAATAAAATCAATCGTACCTACCAGAGACAATAAATAAATCATAAATCAATTTAAACAATGACGATTGTACAACAATAGTACAACCGTGGGCTATATCGTTCCAATTTCATTTAATCATTTTGAATTAAATTAATAGAAAAGAAAACATTAGAATATAGGGTAAACTCCCTAATTGTTGGCATTTTAAGAGTAGGTAGCATGTCAGACATTAAATTACCATAAAATCACATCTAAATGAGTTAGTACACAACACAAAGTTATAACCTGAACAAAGTTATAAAAGAAGATTTAACTAAGCTTAAGGAGGATTCTACGGAACTGAAGAATGAAATGAAAAATATTCGGAAGGAATATGGCGAAATCAAAACAAGCATTGTAAAATTGAACAGCGAACAGACAGAGATGAAGAAGGAATTATCTGAACTTCAGCAATCGGTTCAGTTTACATCAGAGTTACAGGACGAGTGCAGTAAGAAAATGAACTCATTTACCAGCAACCTAGTAAGCTTTGATAATTTGCAAATAGAAATAGACAGGCTGAAAGTTATGAATAAACAAATAAGTCAACAGCTGAACTCTAATGAACAGAGAGATAGGTTAATGAATATTGAGGTGGTCGGAATTCCTGAAAACAAGGACGAAGACCTAATCAGTCTTATTGAAAGGATCTGCAACTCTGTTGAGATGGAAATCTTGCCTGGAGACATTCTTCAAGTAAATCGGGTGTCACCAAAACTAAAACTTGAAGGACGCCCAAGACTAATCATTGCCAAATTAAGAACAAGGCTCATTAAAGATAATTTAATTTCTCTTGCGCGTAAATGTAAGCTTACTACTAAGGATATTGGCCTTGATGGAGACGCCAGGAAAATCTTTGTTAACGAACATCTCACTACTCAAAATAAACAGCTTCTTAAGAAATGCAGAGAATTAATAAAGGATGGTGATTTTCAGTT